GAGAGCACTTCCGGTGCGGGGGCGGGAAGGTCCGCCCGGCGGCGGCAACTCGGGCGCCCCCGCGAGGGGCTGCCCCAGCCCTGGCGGCCTTCGAGTGAGTGTCTGTGTGTGGCAGGGCCGAGGGGTCTGGTCTCTTGCTGGGACGCAGGCTCAAGGCTGACGGAGACGCACCATCACTACAAACTAGTCATTTACACTACTCCAGGAATATGTGCCCTCTGCTTCCCCCAAGACTTTGGAGCGTTTTCTTCTAGAGTTGGTTTTGGAGCAATCCAAAATCTGCACGGATAGAGGTCTTCGGGGATTGTTCCTTGGCCTCACCCTTTCACCTGGATGCCGGACGTCCGGCTTCCATTCTTGCTCCGGCGCAGTCTAAGCTATTTATTACCTGAGGTCACTGTCCTGCTAACACCTCCCGGGGTCTCCCCTCTACACAATAAGGCCAAGCCCTCGGCACCGCAAACAGGGCCCCTGGCCTGCGCCTGTGTCCCCTCCAGCTTTCCAGTCCTCAACCGCGGTGGCGCTGCTCACGTGGTTCCTTAGGCATCTTTGTTCTTTCCAGGCTCAAGGCCTTTGCAGTTGCTGTTTCCGCTGCCGGTCAGCGCCCTCCGATGCCCTGAACACCCTATTCTTTGCAGATGATTCAGGTTTCTGATCGAATGTCATCTCAGAGAAGCTTCTTCGACCATCGCCAAACAGGAACCTCTATTGCCACTCCCTAACCCTTTTATTTTCTTCATGGCATCAACACTCACATGTGTATTTTTGTTATTCTTTGAGTGTCCCACCAAAATGTCTGTTTTATTCAGTGTTATTTCCCTCAGTGTCCTGCCCAGTAACTGCTCGTATGTAATAGGTGATCGAGAAATATTTATTGAATATTTTTTACATACAGGGGATCTTATTATTTGTACCTTTTACTATTGCGTAATCTGTTTTAAAGAAATAAACAATATAGCAATTTATCCTAGACACCTTTATGTACCTAAATACAAAGATCTAGTTCTGTTTTAATCACTCCCTAGTATTCAATTGCATGGAGGTACCCTTACGTATTTAGTCTCTGATAGTGTACATTTAGGCTCTAGGCAATTTTGCAATTAACCTATTTTTGCAAACTTGTTTTATTATTTCCTTAGGATATGTTTCTAGACTGTATGGAAAAGAATGAATACAGGTTTTTGAAATGTGAATTTAAGACATATAAAGGAATTTAAAAATTTTTTTACTTATTTATTTTCAGAGAGAGGGGAAGGGAAGGAGAAAGAGAGGGAGAGGAACATTGGTGTACAAGAAAAACAATTGATTGCCTCAAACACAACCCAGGCATATGGCCCTACCAGGAATGGAATGGGCGACCTTTTGTTTCACAGACCAGCACTCAAACCACCGAGTCACACCAGCCAGGGTAAGATATATAAAAGAATTTTTAGCCCTGGCTGGTGTAGCTAAGTGGATTGAGTGCAGGCCGGTGAAGCAAGGGGTCACCCGTTCGATTCCCAGTCAGGGCACATGCCTGGGTTGCAGGCCAGATCCCCAGTGGGGGACACACTAGAGGCAACCACACATTGATTTTTTTCTCCCTCTCTTTCTCCTTCCTGTACCTTCTCTCTAAAAATAAATAAAATATTTTTAAAAAAGAATTTTTAAAATCACCTGGTCCAATTCCTTCTTTTGAAAAATGAATAGATGCTACACAGCTAAGCTATTAAAGAGCTGAGTCTTGACTGCAGGTCTCCTAAGTCTTGGACAACTTTATTGTTTTACTTTTCCTACGCAGAATTACAATCCCCGTAGAACTGAGTTGTGTATGGTGTGAGGTAGGAGTCAAATTTCATACTATAATTTGTGGTATGGGATGCAACTAAATATCATAGAACAGCCTCCCCCACCCCTGAAATATTTTCTCCAATGTTTTCCTCTAGAAGTTTTAGAATTTTAGTTTTTACCTTTAAATCCACAGTCCATTCTGAGTTAACTATATAGCATGAAGTAACAGTCAAGGTTCTTTTTTTGCATGTGAATATCCAATAGCTATAGCACCATTCATTGAAAAGACTATCCTTTCCCTCATTGAATTTCCTTGATACTTTCACTGAAAGTTGATTATTTATACAGGGGTCTGTTTCTGGGTTCTCTACTCTGTTTCATGGATCTTTATCTTTGCACCAAAGTGAAACTTTCTTGATTACTATAGCTTTGTAATAATTGTGGAATTGTTATAATAATTGTTAAAATCAGGTAAATTTGTTCTTTTTCCTTCCCTACAAAAACTGTTTTGGCTGTTCTAGATCCTTCTCATTTCCATTTAAACTTTAGAATCTGCTTGCCAATGCTGGTATTTTGGTTGGGATTGCACTGAGTCTATAAATTAATTTGCACATTTAGGGAGACCATCTTAGTCTAGTGCTATTACCCACACTGGAATAATTTATTTACTTTTTAAAAAGATTTTATTTATTTTTTTAGAGAGGGGAAAGGAGGAAGGAAGAGAGAGAGAAACATCAATGTGTGATTGCCTCTCATGTGTCCTGCACTGGGACCTAGTCCACAACACAGGCATGTGCCTCAGATTGGTAATCAAACTGGCCACCCTTTGGTTCATAGGCCAGCCCTCAATCCCTGAACCACACCAGCCAGGGCTGGAATAATTTATCGTTAATCAACAACTCTTCTTCCAATTCTGGGCTCATTAAACAACCAGATAGGTAGTGAGTGTCCTGGAAGAGAACGAATTGATCATAGGGTATAAATGGTTAGGTTTCTGAAGATAATCATTCCTATAAAATAATAAGCCAACATTCTAGTTGTAGCATCAATTTTTGTGAATTGGATTAATATCAGTCTGCCCAGAACAGTAGTGTCACTTGCCTACTCTCTGACAAATCAATCGGGTTCCCGGTTTGCAATAATGAAATTGTATTCTAAGTCGTGATGATTTCTCCAATTTACTGCTGCCTTGCGGCAAGGATACATGTCCAAGTTACCTCTGCCTCCTGGCCAGCTATCTCTGAAGAACAAAGACAGTTAGCATTTGCCAAGAATATCCTAAGCACAGGTTATTCGTACTTATGCTGTAATTCCAGAGTCTTTGCCTAAATCACCATCCTGTGATGCCTTTGATAAGTCATTTGAAAAACAGAATTGGCCATTTGTAAATCTGGCCACTTTTAATATGGAATTAATTCAAGCTGTTCTGAGTTCAGTCAGTACATTTAAATTTCTATAGTGCTTTGCAGTTTTTATATAAGCTTTCATATATGATTCATTTAATTCTTTCATATATGAAATATACATTTATATGATTCATTTAATTTTATCTCCTCCTGCTGTGCCTCATAAAAATTCATTTTTTCCTGACCTCTTGTTGGGCAGAATTGAATTTTGAAAAAAGGAAGTGGAAGAGGGATGTGATCCTAGTTTTCAAAATTGGCATTTGCTGATGACTCTCTTCCCAGATTTGACTGACAACCTTCAGTCTTTCCTTGACTTAGTGAAGAGGAGGGAGTTAACATTTCCTAAGGGCATTATATGTTGCTCCTAAAATTTGGTGCATCTGTAGGTGTCATTTCATTTTCGGATCAAATGAGGAAAAGAGAAGGATAGGTGTGTTGTTGGGATATGTGTACAAAGAATCTTGCTGGCAGCCAGAAATTGAGAACAATTAAATTCTCAGTTAAAATATCTGAGAAAAAAAATGAAGGAAATTATGCCCTGGCCAGTTGGCTTAGTCAGAGTATCGTCCCCATATACCATGACTGCTGGTTTAATCCCTGGCCAGGGCAAGTAAAAGAATCAACCAATAAATGCATAAATAAGTGGAACAATAAATCCATCTCTCTCTCAAATCAATCAATACATACATTTTTTTTTTTAATGGAGAGAATTACTGCCTCAATCCCAGGGGTAGATGGAAGACAGCAGCTGGGTTGTTGACAGAAATTACCAATTCTGGACAAGGTATCTATGCTTACTCCTGTGATGTGTTCAAAGGTTCATTTTTCATTCATTCATTCATTCATTCATATAGGTGGACATGACTTTGATACAATTATGGGAATTGTGGAACGATGAAAGGATGAGTCAGAGATGGTACTTGCCTTCACAGGGAAAAATATAACATTTAAAACAGAAGCATTATTCAGCACTTACTGCAGTTTCTTGGTAGGTGCTGGATACATGTCTAGTATTTGCTGAAATTACTTATGCCATACCGGTGGAGAGAACATCAAGGGCAAAGGCACAGTGAGAAGACTATATAGGTTTATATAGATGTGTTTACGTATAGATTGAGATCTCAGTATTTCCCTTGCATAGGATAGGCCCCATTGTCGTGGAATTAGATGGGTAATGGGATGGTAGTGGAGTGGATATTGCTGGAAGATAGAAGCAACGGAGAATGAAGAAAACTGATACAAAACTGTCTTTGTTTTTCAAAAGCAAGAATATACTCAGGCAGGATATTTAGAAGGAAGTATGACATTTTCATTAATTAGAAAACTCTAATTTGTAATATAACAAAGCAGTGAAAACAACCTCTTCCTCCCTTCACCAAAACAAACAAACAAACAAACAAACCCTCGCCTTTGGTTATTCCATGAAACAGCGGCGCCACCATCACTAGGGAGCTGGCTAGAAATGCTGATTCTCAGACACCAGCCCAGAACCACGGATTCAGAAAGTGCGTTTAACACTATGGCCTGATGATTACATGCACATTATAGTCTGAGAAGCCCTGCTCTAACCCATGGTACTTGAGAGCCAGAATTTTGCTGGAAACAACCTCTAGCTGGTGCCGCGATTTCCGGCGTCTTTCACTAGGTGGCAGTAGGCCTCTCGTTTCTTTTATGTAGCACCCACTTTGTTCCAGACCTAAAAATGAAGCTCGTGGTGAAGACAAGACGGGCCTTCAGATGGCGGGAGGCGTGTCCCGGGCGGGGCCGGGCCTGCCCAATGGGTTCTCCTGGGCGGTGGGCGGAGCTCTATTTCAGCAGCTCCTCCAGCCGCAGGCGCGCTGAGCTTCCGAGGGTCGGTATGTGGCTTGTGTCCTGCCAGCTGTGTGTGCACATTGCAAGGCGGAGTAAGCTCTTGGGAACCTGGAACAGGCCTGCCGCCTTCATGTCCACTCTACTCATCAGTCAGCCCCAGTATGCTTGGCTGAAGGAGCTGGGGCTCCGCGAAGAGAACGAGGGCGTGTATAATGGAAGCTGGGGCGGCCGGGGAGAGGTATGCGGGCGTCCCGGGGAATCTCTGCAGCTTCAGTTCGCTGCGGGAGGCCGGGCGGCTCTGCTTAGTCCCATTCCCCACTGCTGCTGTGGGTGGTTGTACTGGGTGGGAAGTTTCCATGCTTCACAGCAGAAGTTTTCTCATGTAGGGTGTCCTAAAAAATACCCCTAGGTTTTAGGTTCTCGTGTACTGTGGAGAGTCGATTCGATGCCATTTTGGAGCTGGTCGGGGTTGAACTTTTCATGTTTACTTAAAGCCTTACCTTAGAGTAGAGTAATGCGATCTGTAGTGAGAAATGTCGCACGCTTAACGGTGGAAATGAATTTTGTTCTTGATTTTGGCTCCTCAGATGTGACATATGGCACAGGTAATGTTTTACACTGTAGTTTGATATTGCCTTGTTTTTTGAAATCCTTTGGAATTTGCACGCTCGGACTTCCTGGAATCCTGACATGTTTTTACTGGCTTTCCCGCATTTCTCAGTTTCCAGAGCCTAACACCATGCATAGCACCCAGGTAGTGCTCATTAAAACCTTTTATAGAATGCGATGGAAAGATAAGGTAATTGTCGCCTAGATTTTTTTGAGAGGCGCATGAAAAGTTTTTGTAAGGAAATGTCATATAACATTGCAACAAACTTTGTGCATGTTATATAATGAACCTGCTTATAGGAGAAGCATCTTTTGGTGACTGTAGGAAAAGCAAGTGGTTTTAATGCCCTTCCCCAACCCCCAATTGGTAGTTTCCTGTTGGTCTCTTTTTCCCCCTTATGTCATCTAATCATTAGGTTCTTGGATAAAATATTTCCTGCTGAAGGCATTTTCTTTTTCTAGTTGACCTTATCAACTAGACCTTTTCAGTTTGTGTGGACACAGTCCTTTTCCATAGTTTGGCCATGGCTGTCTACCTTATGACCAGAGGCTGGACAGAGTCAGGGACAGAAGGAATAAATAAAACTCAAGTTCGGTCAGTTGTTACTGGAAAAAGATGGAATAACACTTTTGTTAATGTACCGAATACTTAGGTGGCAAGGATGGGTCTTGCGGAAAGGTGGTTCTGAATGTTTAGTTCAAAATGAAAAGCTCTGTAGCGTGGCTTATTTGTTACAAGTTAAGATTCCAAGTGTGGGTACTGTATTTTCACCTTTTTTCTTCTTCCTCCCCTTTTTCTTCCCTCATTTGGTCTCCTTCCCCAATTTTGGAAGGGATTACATTTTCTAAATATGGTGGTCATCTTTTTGTTTTTAGGTTATCACAACCTATTGTCCTGCTAACAATGAGCCAATAGCAAGAGTCCGACAGGTAAGTACTTTGTTTTTCATGCAAACAGACTATGCAGAGTTAGTGGGAGTGATTGAGAGCAATACAAAATCAGAAAGTCAAAGAACAGTGTGTTTCTCATTCATTTTAAGAATGCCTAGGAGAGACTGTCCACTCTTTGGATGGAGGTGTGTGTGCCCTAGAAAAAGTGAACCACAATGAAGACTAGGAAGAGAGGGGATCCCATTAAGGCAGGGTGTCAAACTCATGTTCACCGGGGGCCACATCAGTATCGAGGTTGCCTTCAAAGGGATGAATGTAATTTTAGGACTGTACAAATGTAACTACTTAACTAGTGGCAAGTAGCTTGGAGCTGCCTCGGGCGGATACAACAAGGTGGAGGACCAGATTCGGCCTGTGGGCCTTGTGTTTGCCACCTGTGCTTTAAGGCCTTGCTTCTGAATCACCTGGGGCCTTCTAGGGTGAAGGTTCAGACCTCTTAAATCTGGGTTGGAGGCCAAGGTTCTGCTATTCAAGTACAGCTCAGGTGTTTGCAGATGAGGCTGATGGACCTTGCTTTGAGAACCAAGGCTGAAAAAAGCACAGCTGGGTTCTAAAGGGTCCTACTGGGTCCCAGCGAGCTTTTGGAAGAATAGGCTGTGAAAATCATTCCAAACCACAAACCTTCGGGTTACCCAGAGATTTCTAATTCTTTTCCAAAAATAATCTGTGTTCTTAGAAGATGATCACTTTCCTTTCCTCTCCCATCCCCTGCCCTCCCCCCCCCCCCAATTTTTTAAGAGAGAGGGGAAGGGAGGGAGCAAGAGGAGAGAAACATCAGTCACAGAGAGCCCTGACCAGGGACCCAACCTGCAACCTGGGCACGTGCCCCAACCAAAAATCAAACCAGGGACCTTTTGCTTTGGGGGATGACGGCCAAGCAACTGAGCCTCACTGGTCAGGGTTCCCCCTAATTCTTTTTATTAATTCTCTTAATTTCTTTTTTGTTATTCTCACCCCACCCAAACTCCTCAATTTTTAATTTAGGCTAGTATGGCTGACTATGAAGAAACTGTGAAGAAAGCCAGAGAAGCATGGAGACTCTGGGCAGATGTAAGTATGGAGGCCATGCATGATTACTTACTTACTGTAGTTCAGTGAGATTAAGAAACGTCGGAATATCGGAAGAGCAGGGCAGTGCCCCCTTGCTGAACTGGGAGCTCTGTGGGGGCTGTGATAATCTCCTGCTGTAGTTTTAGAATAGTGCCTTTTATGGTCTTCAGTGTGAATTGGTCATTTTAGATGTATTAAAACTCTTGCTGCTATAGCATAAATTCATGCTATTGACTACTCTTTATTCACCAATTTGTAATTAAGCAAAGTGCAAGGAATAGCTATATTAAAAATATCCATTTGCTTCTTTTCCCTCCCTGCCACTTTTATGGGGAGTGGGTGGGGAGTACATCCAAAATAGGTGCACATTTCTGGTTCACAGGGCATTTGTGGCAGCCCCTTCAAAGGGCAGGGGCTGGAGTTCCTCAGCTCTCAGATCAGTCTTCGAGACAAGTTCCGCCTCCTTCGGCTCTGTGTCCATCAGGGGCTATACGCACACGTGTAGGGACTGTGATTGGAGCTTGGCCTCGCTGAGCTGTCCCTAGATGAGGGCCAGGCTTTGGAGGAGGGGTGGGTAAAGAACCGGGACAGCTGGGATCTCCCAGTCCGCCCTCACCTCATTCTGAATATCCCTTTCGGTCTGCCACCAAAAATTCTAGGACGGAGGCTGTGGGACTATCCTGGGTGGCTAACCCAGTGCTATTACCTGGGCAAATTACTTCACCACAGTGTGTTTCGTCCTGCAAAAAGGAGAGAGCTTGGGTGCCTACTTCCTGAGTTATCACCAGGGTAAAATGAGTTAATCATGGAAAATGCTTACAGAAGATCCTGGCCCGTGGCAAACCTCAGTAACCTGCCAGTGATAAACCACGTGCTGCTGGGTGTGGGACTGCTGAGCCGTATTTTCTCTGAGTCAGTGATTGCTGGGAGGTCTTGGGGAGGGGCAGACTCTCCAGGAGAGCCCCGGGTTGGATGTAGCTTTGTTGTTTGCTAAGTGACTGCTTCTGTGCAAACCACAAGGAACATTTTTCCTCTACTTCACTAATTCTGGCCATAAATTAGGCTGAAGTTTCAATGATACACAATCAAAGCTATCCCTGAGTAGGGAAATACCACCTCCAAAAGTAGACAGCTGTGCCAAGTAAAAGTTTAAAAAGAAATGTTATTTTTTTTTTAAATTGTATTTTATTATTCTACACAGTTGTCCTCATTTTTCTCTCTTTGTGCCCCTCCTTCCACCCAGTATCCCCCACTCCCTCAGGCGATCCCCACACCATTGTTCATGTCCATGGGTCAAGCATGTAAGTTCTTTGGCTGCTCCATTTCCTATGCTGTACTTTACATCGCCATGGCTGTTCTTGGACTACCTATTTGTACTTCTTAATCCCTCACCTCTTCACCCACTCCTCCTCCCCCACCATCAGGCAACCATCAAAATGCTCTCTGTATCCATAATTTTGTCTCTGTTCTTGTTTGCTCAGTTTGTTTTTTAAAGTCAATTGTTGATACATATGTATTTATTGCCATTTTATTGTTCATAGTTTTGATCTGCTTGTTAAACAGTTCCCTTTAGTGTTTCATATAATAATGGTTTGGTGATGATGAACTCCTTTAGTGTTGTTTGTGAAGCTCTTTATCTGCCCTTCAGTTCCAAACGACAGCTTTGCTGGGTAAAGCTGTCTTAGCTGTAGGTCCCTGCTCTTCATGACTTGGAATATTTCTTGTCAATCCCTTCTCTCCTGCAAAGTTTCTTTTGAGAAATCAGCTGACAGTCTTGTGGGAACTCCCCTGCAGGCAAATAACTACTTTTAAGATTCTCGCTTGACCCCGGCTGGTGTAGCTCAGTGGATTGAGCATGGGCCTGCGAACCACACCATCACGGTTCGATTCCTAGTCAGGGCACATGCCTGGGTTGCAGGCCAGTTCCCAGCAGGGGACTCACGAGAGGCAACCATACATTGATATTTCTCTCCTTCTCTTCCTCTCTAAAGATAAATAAATAAAATCTTAAAAAAAAAGATTCTCTCTTTATCTTTAACCTTTAGCATTGTAATTATGATGTGTCTTGGAGTGGGCCTCTTTGCATCCATCTTGTTTGGGACTCTTTCTGCTTCCTGGACTTGTATGTCTTCCCTCAAATGAGGGAAGTTTTCTTTCATTATTTTTTTAAATGGATTTCCAGTTTTTTGCTTTTTCTCTTCTGTTTCCGGCACCCCAATGATGCAAATGTTGGACCACTGGAAGTTGTCCCAGAGGTTGCTTACACTGTTCTCATGTTGGGGGATTCTCTTTTCTTCTTCTTGTTCTGGTTGGTTGTTTTTTGTTTCCTCATTTCCCAATCATTGATTTCATTCTTGGCTTCACCCATTCTACTCTTGTTTCCCTGGAAATTGTTCTTTATTTCAGTTAGTGTATCCTTTGTTTCTGAGTGGGTTTTTTAATGCTGTTGTGGTCCTCACTAAATTTCTTGAGCATCCTTATAACCAGTGTTTTGAACTCTGCATCTGATAGGTTGCTTATTTCCATTTTGTTTAGTTCTTAGTTTCTGGAGTTTTGATCTGTTCTTCCATTTGGACCATGTTTCTTTCTCTCCTCATTGTGGCAGCCTCTCTGTGTTAGTTTCTGTGTATTAGGTAGAGCTGCTTTGACTCCATATCTTGTTAGTGTGGCCTAATGTAGTAGGTGCCCAATAGGGTCCAGTGGCACAGCCCCCCTATTATCACCCAAGCTGGGTACTTGAGGTGTGCTCTTTATATGGGCTGAGTACACCCTCCTCTTGTAGTTGAGCCTTGGTTGCTGTTGGCAGGTCAGTGGGAGGAATTTCCCCAGGCCAGTCACTGCAAGTACTGGCTGTGACCACTGACCACCACCCTCTGCCCTCTGTGGAAGATCAGCTGTTTAGGGGCAGGGTGGTGGTGCTCTGACATGGTCTGTAGCTGCCCACTGGGTACGCAGCCTTGAGTTTCCTGAGTGGTGCAGGCCAAGGTCAGCCCCCACCTGTGTTTTGCCTGGGGTCACCTTGCCTGGGCTATAAAGCAATCTGAGATGGCTGCTACTTGTGCTGGCCTTGGAGATTCCCAGGTGAAGCCAAGCTGTGAATCTAGGCTGGCTGCTGCTAGTGCAGGTCCTGGGGCCACTTACCAAGAGGTAGTGTGGCTGGTGGCTCACTGAGGCCAGCTGTTGCTTGTTTGATGAGATTTAGAAAGCTGTGAAGCAGAAGGCAAGACCACCCATTCATGTGAAAGAACAGCTTGGGTAGGCCAGAGTCTCGAGGGATCTCCAGGATGGGGCAAACAGTGTCAGCCAGGTTAATGGAGTCTCAGATATGGTACCAGCTTGTTGGCTCAGTGGCTCTCTGGAGGGAAGGTTTTGAGAAGGGACAATGGTCTTTGCTCAATTTGATGCCGGACACTTCAGTTCCTCCCTGTCTGCCACTGGTGCCTTTCAAGCTGCTACCCCAGTGCTGGAGCTCGGAGGGAGCGAGTCTGAGTAGGTGAGTCCATGTATGGGTTTTTTTTAAGAGGAACTGCTTGGGGCTCCAGAAGTTTTGTCTGTTGACTCAGTCCCCACTGGGTTTTGCAGCCAGAAGTTGTGTAAACCTATCCTGGCACTGAAACTCTGGGCTGGAGTACCTGGTGTGGGGCTGGGACTTCTTGCTCCTGAGATGTGCCTCCTAAATTTTTATCCACATGAGTGTGGAACCAGCCCCTTCTGTACCTGCGTCCCTCCCACCAGTCTGAATGGATGTGGTTTCTTTAATTACATAGTTGCCAGTCTTCCATTCAACTCGATTTCTGACGGTTCTGAGTGATGGTTGTTCTTTATTTTAGTTGTAATTTCGATGTGGTTGTGGGAAGAGGCGAGCCGTCTCTGCCTATGCCACCATCTTGACCAGAGTAAAACCTTATCTTCTCTCTGACTGTAAAAGTAATATAATACATATTCCCTACTTTTGTAAAAAATTGGATGAAGCAGTAAACAAGAGAATCAAATTTGATCCCCGTATATTCTCGTACAGAATGGTTATTAGAGTTATGTTCTGGTGCATTTCCTTCCACTCTTCTATGTAGTTATTTCATAGTTATGTTTATTCTAATTACATGCGTATATACATGATGTGTGTAAAATTTTGTGACCTGTGATTGCATTACGCCAGCCTAGAATTACTGCAAAATTTTTAACCATTATGTATGTATTCATGTACATACACAGTTATACCTTGGTACTACTCATTGGCTTCAGAACTCATCAAACCCTGTACTAGTCACATTTTGATGAGAAAAAATGTTTCGGTACTCGACACCTGCTCAGGACTTGTCACATTTGCTAGAACTTGTGTGAGTCATGATGTCGCCCCTCGAGAGAATGTGCTTCACTGTTTGGTACTCGTAGGTTTCTGCACTTGTAGGTTTTGACACTGGACGTGAGTTCTGGGACGAATTAACAATGAATACCGAGGCACCACTGTACTTTTTAAAAAAGAAATTGTTACAGACTTATTTTTTAGAGCAGTTTTAGGTTCATAGTGTAGGGCAGGAAACATTTTCCTTTCTTTCATTTTAACTTCTATGGATGGTCTAATAATTAAATTGACTAAGGCAGGTTAACAGAAAAACAAATTTTAATTCTGTAGATAAAGGTTCCCTCAAAGATATCAAACCGAAAGGCAACCAGGTAACTAACTGATGCTTACTTAGCATCTTGGGTGAAGGAACTGAAGAGGGGTCTGGGGCTTTAACGAGCAAATGTCTGGTTAACAAATGTGTGCCCTGCTATGCAGGTACGTCTCTCAGATGTGAAAAGTTACATCTGGTGCTTGCTCCCTTCCTGATGCAGCCCCCCCTTTCCAAATTTTTCTAGGAAGTTAAGAGGAACTAAAATGCTTTTCCGGAGTCTGCTGGGTCTTCAGCAAAAAGTAATCCACATGTCAAAGTGGCACGTTCTGGGGTGACTTGTTCTGAGTCCACTGAACAGAAAGAGGAGCAGAAAGTACAGGGTTCTCTCCCCCTCCCCCTTCACTCTGAGCAAGTTTATTAACAGCTTGCATTAGTGTGGCACATTTCTATGATTGGCGAGCCAGTATTGATTATATATATATATATAAAGAGTTAAATCCTAAATATAAATGATGGACTTTATATATATATATATATAAAGTCCATCATTTATATTTAGGATTTAACTCTTTGTATACACCATTTTGAATGCCAGTGAAACATCTGACCAGAAGTGTCTATTATGAGTGTGTATTTACCCAGGATAACCACAGTCGTGTTAGAGGAGAGAGTTAGTGTGAATTCAGAGGCTTCTCTTTTTCTGAACTGGCCTTTACATCCGTCCTCGCTCCAGGGTGGCAGCTGACGTTGTGATGCCAGCCTTTAACATTGGGCTGTACCTTGCTGTTGTGTTTGTATTCAGGATCTCATTTAGCAGTCTGCTCTTACTCGGCAGTGCCGGACTCTGCCCCTTATGTCCTTTCTCATACTTCTCATACAGTTCAGACCTGCCTGTAGAATGGGGGCTGCTAAGTGGGACTAGGTTGCTTTTCTGGGTGATGGCAGAGTCCATTGGGAACCCACTCACTAGAATTCGAGTTAAGCAGTTGAGTTCAGAGTTTAGGGAAGAGACAGAGACTTTCCTGACTGTGCCTGCCGGGCTCCCACCAAGGGGGGCAGCGAGTTAGAGGTCTCTGGGGCCTCCAGCAAGAACTGAGCGGAACCAGATCCCCTCCAGGTCTATGCCTTTTCCCTCTTGGCTCCTCACGCGTGTAGAGCCCCTGGGTGGCCACAATCCTCTGGGCTGGCCTTGCTTGTGTGAGCACAAACCACTGTTCCATTTAGTTCATTCAAGTTAAGCCTGGGGTTTTTCAAGGGGAACGTTTTTCTTTCTTTCTTTCTTTCTTTATTTATTTTTATTGATTATGCTGTTACAGTTATTCTATTCCCCCTTTATTCCCCTCCACCCTACCTCCCATCCCCACCATCACCCCCCCTTTAGTTTATGACCATGTGTCTCAAGTCCTTTAGATTCTATATTTCCCATGCTATTCTTGCCCCCCCATCTATTTTCTATCTACTGTCTATGCTACTTATTTTCTGTACCTTCTCCCCTCTTCTCCTCCTCCCACTCCCCTGTTGCTAACCCTCCTTGAGATCTTCATTTCTATGTTTCCACTCCTGATCTAGCTGTCCTTTTAGTTTGCTTTTGTTTTAGGTGTGGTTGTTAATAACTGTGAGTTTGTTGTCCTTTCACTGTTCATGTTTCTTTAACTTCTTTTTCTTAGATAAGTCCCTTTAACATTTCATATAATAAGGGCTTGGTGATGATGAACTCCTTGAATTTGATCTTATCTGAGAAGCACCTTATCTGTCCTTCCATTTTAAATGAAAGTTTTGCTGGATAGAGCAGTCTTGGTTGTAGGTCTTTAGATTTCATGACTTGGAATACCTCTTTCCAGCCCCTTCTTGCCTGTAAGGTCTCTTTTGAGAAATCCGCTGACAGTCTGATGGGGACTCCTTTGTAGGTGACTGTCCCCTTAGCTCTTGCTGCTTCTAGGATTCTCTCCTTCATTTTAATCTTGGCTAATGTAATTACGATGTGCCTTGGTGTGTTTCTTCTTGGGTCCAACTTCTTTGGTACTCTCTGAGCTTCCTGGATTTCCTGGAAGTCTATTTCCCTTTGCCAGATTGGGGAAATTCTCCTTTATTATTTGTTCAAATAAGTTTTCCACTGCTGGCTGTGCCTTTCCCCCTTCTGGTACCCCTATAATTCGGATGTTGGAGCGTTTAAAGATGTCCTGGAGGTTCCTAAGACTCTCCTCATTTCTTTGAATTCTTGCTTCTTGACTCTTTTCTGTTTGGCCATTATTTGCTTTCTTCTGGTCCACTCCATTGATTTGAGTCCCAGTTTCCTTTTCATTGCTATTGGTGTCCTGTGCAATTCCATTCATTTCAATTAGTTTCGCCTTCATATATTTGTCTAATTTGTTGGTATAATCAACCAGTTCTGTGAGGATCCTGATCACCAATGTTTTAAACTGTGCGTCTGTGAGTTTTGCTATTTCTTCATCGCTTAGATTTATTGGCTCTGGGGCTCTGAGATCCTCCTGCGCCATTCTTGGTCTGTTCGGCCCCTTTAAGAAGCGGCGCCTTGGATTCCCAGGTCGCTGGGTTGTGAGGCCGTATGTGGGGGCGTGGCCCGAGCGGGGAAATGGCGCCCCCCTCTGCCGCTTCTCACAGCTGGGTGCGGAGGAGCAGTGCCTTAGGTGGTTCACCTGGGCCGGGCCACTCAGAGTCGCTGGGTTATGACGCTGTACGTGGAGGTGGGGTCAGAGCAGGGAAATGGCGGCACCCTCCACTGCCGCTTGCCGTGGGGATCTGCCGTCCCTGTCCAACCACCCACTCCCTCGCCTGTCCACCCTCGCACAAATGCGCGACCTCAGTCAACACGCAGCCCCGGGCCCGGCTGTCTCCCCCGAGGTCGCTCGCCTGGTCGCTCGCTGGGTCGCTCACTAGGTCTGACCCTGCGCCTGGATTCCGCCGGCCTGAGTGTGTCTGGCCAAGTCCTCCTGTGCAACCCTGCTCCGCCAGCCGCTGGTTTCGCCCCTTACTGGTCAGGCTGAAGAATTTGTTGTTAACGGACTTCCGAAAAGTTCAATTTTCCGTGTTCTGGCTGTGTTTTCTGTTGCTAATATTTAGTTTTTTCTAATCTTGGTTGTGTGAGAAGGCACGGCACATCCACCTATGCCTCCATCTTGGCGGAAGTGGGAACGTTTTTCTTGAGAGGAAAAGAAACAAAGTATAAAAATGTGGAAGACTAGTTAATAAAAATGGATTTTTCCCTCTTAACTGGAACTACCACAGACAGCAAAGTTGGGAATGCTGAGTGCTGCTTTCTTTCATGGGACAGTTTTAGCTCAGAAGGCCACCTGTGTCTGCCCCTCTGCACCCCTTGTGCGCCCTCCTTTTTCCTCTTCGTCTCCCGTGGGGAAGAGCCAGAGCCTCCTCCCTCTCTCTGTTTGTATTGATTTTAGGGAGAGGGGGAGAGAGAATGAGAGAAACATGGGTCAGCCGTCTCCCATGTGTGCCCTAACTGGGCGTCCACCCCGCAGTTCAGGTGTGAGGGTCGGTGCTCCAACCAGCTGAGCCGCCTGCAAGGGCCCCCAGTGAGTTCTCAGTTGGATTCCCTACTTCTCCTCTTTCTGCCTCAATCTATTCTCTACCCATCAGACAGTGACCTTAAGAGGTAAAGCAAATCATTTTGTTTTGCTTCTTAAAACCTGTTAAAGTCTTCCCAGTGCACTTGGCTATGATTCTGACTCCTTAAAAGTTGCTAACTTTAGGCATGCGGGCCTTCCCACGCAGGCCCTCAAATGGGACAGCTATGACAAGCTTTCGTTTTCCCTGGATCTCTCTCACATGGTTTTTTTTTTTTTTGCTCCTGGAAGAAGATTCCTATGGTTGACTTTTCCTATTCTTTGCTTTTCAGTTTAAATCTCACCTCCTTAGAGATTTCCCCAAGCACCATTTAGGTTAAACGACTTACCCATTTATCCCCCAAACCTGCTGTATTCTCTGTCTCAGCGCCCTCTTCATTTCCTTGGACTTTATACCCCTTTTCACAATTTGTAACCATTTGAGCCTTTTTTACCCCTGTGCCTCCTGCTAGATATTACTTAGCGCCATAAATGCCTCACTTCTTCTTTTAGTCCCAGTGCGTATTAGTGCTGCTGTCACAGAGTAGGTGTTCAGAAAATATTCGGTGAGCGAATGGTATGATTTGAATGTATGATGGAATACCAGTTTGTAACGAAGCTGTATCAAGGGTTTGGGCATGAAGCCTGTTTGGCCCATAAAAACTCATTGCTGGGATTCATAAAGGCATGTAGATCTATCTTTAAGCTGTTTTAAGCTTTCTGGAGTCATCCCAAAAGATTGTGTTCAACCTCTGAGTTTCTCTCTCTTCTTGGCATGGTTCCTTGCTCACTACGAACCTCTCATCTGAATACTTTCTGGGCTGTTGGTTTTGGCTTTGGGGCCTGCCATATCACAGTCCTGACGTGATCAAAAAAGTCGCTTGTAGTTTGCTCGCTCACGGCACATTTACCTAATACAGTATTAGAGACATGAGTTTACACTTTGATATTTTATTTCATTTTTGATTTTAGAGAGAGGGGAATGGAGGGAGGGAGGGAGGGAGAGAGGGCGAGAAACATCAACTGGTTGCCTCCTGTACGTGCTCCAGGGCAGTACACCTGCAACCCAGGCTTGTGCCCGGACCAGGAATGAGCTGGCGACTTTTTGGTTCATGGATGATGCTCAACCAACTAAGCCACACCAGGCAGGGCAACGAATTTACACTCTAAATGGGACAGTCAAATCTATTGTTTTCTTTAGGTTCCTGCTCCAAAGCGAGGAGAAGTAGTGAGACAGATTGGTGATGCCTTGCGAGAGAAGATTCAAGTACTAGGAAGCTTGGTAAAGTATTTCTGTAATAAAAATATAATCTTTTAGAGGTGAATAAGGCCTTCATGCATTTCTCTATATAGCATGGTGATTTTTTTTTAAGTTTTTTGATGACATTCAATTTATCTACTTCCACTTTCTGTATCTATTTTTAAAGGTTTATTAATCATTTTTAGACAAAGGGGAAGGGAGGGAGGAAGAGGGAGAGAAACGTTGATGTGTGAGAGAAACACTGCTTGTTTGCCCAGATGCACACACTCCACGACTGGGCTGCAACCCGGGCCCGTGCCCTGACCAGGACTCCAACCGCCGACCTTTCGCTTTGTGGAATGGTGCTCAGCCAACTGAGCCACGCTGGTCAGGGCGTAAGATTGTGATTTTTAAGAAAAGCGATTTATACATTTCAAAAGTCTTTTCTCTAGAGGAAAAATGAAAACAGCGGACAGGAAAAGTGAAGACCATCCTTGGGGTTTTTTTTTTTTTTTAAATTTTTTTTTTATTGATTATGCTGTTACAGTTGCTCTATTCCCCCCTTCGTTCCCCTCCACCCTACCCCGCCGTCCCCACCATTACCCCCCTTTAGTTTATGACCATGTGTCTCAAGTCCTTTAGATTCTATATTTCCCATGCTATTCTTGCCCCCTCCATCTATTTTCTATCTACTGTCTATGCTACTTATTTTCTGTACCTTCTCCCCCCTTCTCCTCCTCCCACTCCCCTGTTGCTAACCCTCCTTGAGATCTTCATTTCTATGTTTCCACTCCTGATCCAGTTGTCCTTTTAGTTTGCTTTTGTTTTAGGTGTCTTTGTTAATAACTGTGAGTTTGTTGTCCTTTCACTGTTCATGTTTCTTTAACTTCTTTTTCTTAGATAAGTCCCTTTAACATTTCATATAATAAGGGCTTGGTGATGATGAGCTCCTTGAATTTGATCTTATCTGAGAAGCACTTTATCTGTCCTTCCATTCTAAATGAAAGTTTTGCTGGATAGAGCAATCTTGGTTGTAGGTCTTTGGATTTCATGACTTGGAATACCTCTTTCCAGCCTCTTCTCTTCTGTAAGGTTTCTTTTGAGAAATCCGCTGACAGTCTGATGGGGACTCCTTTGTGGGTGACTGTCCCCTTATCTCTTGCTGCTTCTAGGATTCTCTCCATTTTAATTTTGGCTAATGTAATTATGATGTGCCTTGGTGTGTTTCTTCTTGGGTCCAACTTCTTTGGTACTCTCTGAGCTTTCTGGATTTCCTGGAAGTCTATTTCCTTTGCCAGATTGGGGAAATTCTCCTTTATTATTTGTTCAAATAAGTTTTCCACTGCTGGCTGTGCCTTTCCCCCTTCTGGTACCCCCATAATTCGGATGTTGGAGCGTTTAAAGATGTCCTGGAGGTTCCTAAGACTCTCCTCATTTCTTTGAATTCTTGCTTCTTGACTCTTTTCTATTTGGCCATTATTTGCTTTCTTCTGGTCTACTCCATTGATTTGAGTCCCAGTGTCCTTTTCTTTGTTATTGGTTTCCTTTGCAATTCCATTCATTTCAATTAGTTTCGCCTTCATATATTTGTCTAATTTGTGGCTATAATCAACCAGTTCTGTGAGGATCCTGATCACCAGTGTTTTAAACTGTGCATCTGAGAGTTTTGCTATTTCTTCATCGCTTAGATTTATAGGCTCTGGGGCTTTGAGATCTTCTTGAGCCATTTTTGGTCTGTTCGTGCCCTTTAAGTGTGAGGAGCGGAGCCTTGGACTCCCAGGTTGCTGGATTGTGACGCTATATTTGGGGGCGTGGTCAGAGCGGGAAAATGGCGACCCCCTCTTCTGTTTCGTGCTGCTGGGTAGGAGCAGAGCCTTCAGTGGTTCTCCAGGGCCGGGCCACTCAGGTCGCTGGGTTATGACGCTGTATGTGGAGGTGGGGTCAGAGCGGGGAAATGGCCGCTTGCCGCGTGGACCCACTGGGTCCCGGTCTAATCGCCCACTCCCTCGCTTGTCTATCCATGCACAAATGTGCAACTACAGTCAACCCGCAGCCCTGCTCCCTCGCTGTTTCCCCACGGTCGCTCAATTGGTCGCTTGCTCGGTCGCTCACTAGGTCCAACCCTGCGCCTGGATTCCGCGCGTCTGAGTCCGTCTGACCGAGTTTTCCTGTGCAACCCCGCTTCACCAGCTGCTGGTTTCGCCCCTTACCGGTCAGGCTGAAGAATTTGTTGTTAACGGACTTCCGAAAAGTTCAATTTTCTGTGTTCTGGCTGTGTTTTCTGTTGCTAATATTTAGTTGTCTCTAAACTTGGTTGTGTGAGAAGGCACGGTATATCCACCCATGCCTCCATCTTGGCGGAAGTCCACCCTTGGGTTTTAAAATTTTTCAGAAAAAATATGAATAGATTTTCTGAAATTTAATACCTTCACAAAACAGACACAAAATATGTTTTCCATTTTCCACCTTATCATTTTAATGTTTAACATGTAAATTCTGTTGGAAAAATATAGCTTGATTTTTTTTGTATTTTTAGGTGTCTTTGGAGATGGGGAAAATCTTAGTAGAAGGTGTGGGAGAAGTTCAAGAGTATGTGGATATTTGTGATTATGCTGTCGGCTTATCACGGATGATCGGGGGACCCATTCTGCCTTCTGAACGTAAGCAATGAAGTCACTGAAGCTCCGAGTTCTCTGCCCTGACACAGGAGCTCTAAAAAATGCCCTGGCTGTGAACAGTTTGCAAAAGAGGAGTTGTAAGTGACATATAAATAAATTAAAGTAATCTTTCTACTCACAAATGCAATTGAAACAGGTGAAAACATCAAATCAAGATACTTTAATTTTTGAAGATGGAACTAGGTGTCAGCAAGTCCATGGGTGAGACACCCTTTTATGGGGACTTGTAGTGACGTGAAGTGCCAGTCCATCTGGAAAAAAATTAGAGCCTTACATTTAGTGCCGATTTCAAGAATCTAATTTAAGTAAATAATCTGAAATGTGACAAAGGTGTATGTGTAAAGATGTTTGTTGTGGCATTGGTAGGAAACATTAAAAATGACCTAAATGTCATAAGGCAAAGGTAGAGCTGATTTTGACTGTTAGTGGGTAATAAAAATCCCATTTATGAATTACCTACCTCCAACACCATACTTTTATGAGAAGGTTGTTTTTGCTTATTTTTAAATTACCTTAATGTTACTTTTTTGAGGAGATGTTATGATCATCACAAAATTAAAAAGGAATGAAAGAGTAAAGGATGGAAAGTACTCCCCCTGGGTACCCCATGGTATTCCCATGGAAGTAGTCACTGTTTCTGGTTTCTTGTATAGCTTTTTAGAGCTTCTATTCACTCACAGGCAAATATATGTCTTTTGGAAACACAAACATTAATAAATTATACATTCTGTTCTATACTTTTTCCTACTTAAAGGGTCTTAGAAATTATTTCATATTATCCCATTAAGGTGCCCCCTTCATCTTTTTTGATGACAATTTGCTGCAAGATCCTCTTTGTAACTTATTTAACCTGTTCCCAAATGATGGGTGTTTTCAGTTTTCTGAGTTATTCTATGCTGCAAGGACCAGCCTTATACTCTGGGAAGTTTCAGTGATGAGGGTAAGGGCTTCTGTGATATGTAATGTTCGCAGTTTTAACAGAGCAAACAGATGAGTCTGGGGGCCGCACTGAAGATAGGGGGGCTGGAAGTCTGCCAGAGTGATAACAGTGGTTATCCCCGAGTTTTATTGTTGTCTTTCTATTCTAGAGTACTTTTCAAAAACGTCCATGATGAGATTATGTTACATTTATGATTGGGAAAGAATATAAATATATATGTTAAAAATTTAAATAATTTATTTGAGAGAGAGAGAGAAAAACATTGACTTGCTTTTCCATTTATTTATGCATTCACTATTCACTGGTTGATATTTGTATGTGCCCTGATTGGCGATCAAACTCACAGCCTTGATATATCGGGATAACCTGCCTGGCCAGAGCAAGAATATATAGATTTTTTTAATGTTTATTTACTTAAAAATTTTTTAGATGTATATTTTAAAGAGTAGATGATTCATCTGTGCAGAGGCTTTGGGGTAACTTCAACCTCATCCATGCAGTTAATGCTTATTGAGTGTCCGCCAGGTGCCAGGTGATCTGATAGGTGACCCTTGATCAATGAGACATAGTCCTTGTCCTCAAGGAATTTATAAGGTTATAGATTCCTTACATTTATGGGTGAGAGGGTAGTGGGAGATAAGTAAAGGAATGATTATAATAGAACAGAGTACTGTGATGGGGTGTGGGATAGGATAAGACAGTGAGCACCTAAGCTAGCCAGAGAAAGTAATCCAAGGCCTCCCAGAGGAAGTACTTCAAGTCCTTAGGGAAGGGAGGGGTAGAGGGCTGGGACAGGAGTTACTTTAAATAGGGAGGGGAAAAAAATGAAAGCTTCAGGTGGGAGAATGTGGCGTATTTGGGGACCTGTGCTGCTGTAGCACAGCCCTCAGGGCACAGTCTGAGGGCAGAGGCTTTCCTGAGAGGAGTTTGGAATTTACGAATTTACTGGAGGGCAGCTCCTGTAGTCATCTGGACAATCAAAGGATTTTAAGCAATGGAGGGATGTTATCAGGGCGGCACTGGCCTCTCTGGGGGGAGGGATAAAGAAAAGGGGGAGGGCTGGAGGGGAGAAGGCAGGCCCTGTCTGGAGGCGTTGCCAGCACAGCAGCACGTCGTCTGAAGGGAGGTTAGGATGCCTAGACCAAAGGAGGGTCAGCACTGGGGTTGCAGCCACTGGCGGCTTTCCCTTTCCCAGCTCGCCGTGTGGGCGTGGCCTGTGCGGTGGATGGCCAGGAGCACCGCCTTTCCAGCCGGTTTGTGGTTTTCACCAGGGTTCGTGAGCCATCACTCCTTGCTTTGGTTCTTCACTGCTGTGGTTGGGTGCCCTTGATTGAAATGATCAGTTTGCATAAGTTTCAGCAGTATAGTGTCTGTCATTACGGTTTATAGGGTAATGTAGTGATAGCAGCTTTTGTAGTGTGCTGATTAGTGTACCCAGACCCACTGCCGTGTAAAGTGATCCACCACGAGGCATCTGGAATCCCCACTTGGCCCTGTGTACCTTTGTTCTGAAAATGAAAGATTTTAGACTTTGTTCTTACTAATTTGACCTGCATGACATGAACACGCTTGAGCCCATTCCTTGCCTTCCTCTGTCCCCAGGGCCTGGCCATGCGCTCATCGAGCAGTGGAACCCTGTGGGCCTGGTTGGAATCATCACCGCCTTCAACTTCCCCGTGGCGGTGTACGGCTGGAACAATGCCATCGCCATGATCTGCGGGAATGTCTGCCTTTGGTGAGGCCTGCTCACTTTCTGGTCTGGAAGTAAGAGGATAGAAGTAGCCATGGTTAGGTCCTAGTACAAGTGTTTTAAATGTATTGAAATGCTTTCTACTACTCTACGTTTTCTGTTACATACTGAGTCACATCTGCCTGCTGTTTGTGAAACATCAATTTTGAATTATTACCTATTTTAACCATTGGTAAAATTTATTTTTTTGACTTAATTTTTTTGACACAGCCTTGTCCTTCCAGTTGTTTCCACCCCAGGCGAGTGTACTGTAATTAAATTCTGACACGAACTTCCTGGGTTTAGTGTCAGCCTTACTCACGTGTAAGGGCTCCGTCCTCCACAAGACTGGCTTTAGATGCAGGCTGCAAGTGTCCCCAGCTCCACAGAACATGTGCAGTTCTGACCAGCCATCTGCAAAGTTGGAGCTTCCCAGAACCCTCGGGTTCAATAATTCATTAGAATGACCCCCCCAGGACTCGAGAAAGCACCATACTAATAGTTATAGTTTTATTATAAAGGGTACACATAGGGCAGGGTCTAGAAGGGTCCCAGCTTGCAGAGCTTCCATGCCCTCTCCCTGTGAACTCGGGGCACATCACCCTCCCAGCTGGGAGGCTCCACTGAGCTTTGGTGTCCAGATTTTTTTATTTTTTTTATTTTTTTTTTAAGTTTTTTTTTTTTTTTTTTTTAGATGGGAAGGGAAGGAGAGAGGGAGAGAAACATCAATGTGTGGTTGCCTTTTGTGCCTCCCCTGCTGGGAACTGGCCTGCAGGGAACCAGCCTGCAACCCCTGTATGTGCCCTGACTGGGATTCAAACCGCGATTGTCTGGTTCGCAGGCCCAGATTTTTTTATTGGGGCTTTATTCCATAGGCATTATTGATTAAATCATGGACATGTGATTGAACTCAATCTAGATTCCTCCTCCCTTCACCATGGTTGGTCTTTCTGGTGACCAACCAACCCCCATCTTGAAGCTGCCTAGGGGGCCCCACAAGGCACCTTGTTAGCATAACCAAGGCTTCTGTCACTCAGAATTCCAAGGTGTTTTGAAGCTCTGTGTCAGAAACAGACCAGATGAATAATCTTTATTGTACTACCCTCCCTAAACGGAAAGCTAAGTAAATAAATAGGAAAAAAAGAAGTTGTAGTGAGTCACAACTTTCTTTTAAAGTTTGACTTTTTTCTTCTTCTTTTTTAAAAAGAATATTGTATTAATTTTTAGAGAGAGGGCAAGGGAAGGAGAAAGAGAGGGAGAGAAACATCAATGTGTGGTTGTCTCTCGTGCACTCCACACTGGGGGACTGACCTGGCTCACAGCCCAGACATGACCCTGACTGGGAATCGAACCGGTGACCTTTCTGTTCACAGGCCGACACTCAATCCATTGAGCCACACCAGCCAGGGCATTATGAAAGTTTTGTAGCCTGCTGGGTCTCAGAGACACTGAGGTGAAAGACAGATTCCTATTTCAGTTACTAGGCTCAGTTGTCTAAACCAGGTTTTCTCACAAAGATTTATGCTTCTTGATAATAAAAGGTATTTATGATTTCCACCAAATTAAGTTGCTTTTTTTTTTTAACCCTCTCAAGGAAAGGAGCTCCAACAACTTCCCTCATTAGTGTTGCCGTCACAAAGTGAGTATTGTGAACTTGTGGCTTCCTCTCTCCTGGGTACAGAGTAATCTCAAAAGGGTGATTGACAGGCATTGAATTTTTAATGCAGTGTCAAAGTGTCATAATTAGCATGGGATTTCTATCACCTCTTTCTCTTTTGGTTGCAATAACATTTTTACCTCGTGTGTGGTGTTTGCAGTTTACAGAGCTCTTCCAGAGCCCCATCATCGAACTCTTTGGAAACATGCCAGACAGTGAGTTAAGTGTTGAGACTGAACTCTTATAAACATTACCGTCACTTACAAAATAAAAGCAAATGCAATTGAGAGGAAATTCCCTTGCAATTTAGGAGCTATATTTTATAACCATTCAACATGTTAATGGTTTTGATTTCCACCCAGCTAATTCTTTTATTGCTTTTGCTTAATAGACTGCTAGCAAAACAGAAAGAAACGTTTACTATATTATTCTACAGATTCTTCTCACACTATCTAAAATGTATTTTTTGATTAAAAAATTGTTTTATTTACTCCTATTTGAAAACTTGGCAACTCTGTGTCATAAAATCAGTGTTACTGATTATCACTCAAGAATTTAGAGATTGTGCATGAAAAGTGCCTGCCGTATGGGGTGGTGATGCATCCTTTATGCTTGGTTTCGTGGCTTGCATTCTCTGATTAGAGAGTTGTTGGTAGACAGCTTGTGATGGAATCTCTTTGTAAGAGGGTCCTTAATATTAGAGCATTTAGGAGCACTGGCTTAGGACTGAAAAAGAGAGAGTAATATTTACTTGAAAGGAATGTGTGATATTGAGGGAAATATATCCTTCAAGTTAGGGCTGTTCAAGTTAAATATTTCATAGAACTCTGTATATAAGACATAAAAATGATGAGATTCCCCAGGCAATTTTTTTTTAATTAAAAAATAAAACAGTTAATGTGGTCATGGTGAACTGGCTTGCCAGTTTAAGCAACTGGTTTAAAATACGGTCAAGTGTTCAAAGTTGTTGTTGCTATGAGATATTTTATATTTATTATTTACTTTAATCATTTCGAAGCGTTTGAAATGTTCATATAGGAACGTGGCTGACATTTTAGGTAATTGAGAATATTATCTTTATTTTTAAAGATTGTATTTACTCTTAGAGGAGAAGGCAGGGAGAAAGAGAGAAAAACATCAGGTTGCCTCTTATACGTCCCCTGCTGGGGACCTGGCCACAAACCCAGGCATGTGCACTGACTGGGATTCGAACCTGAGACCTTTTAGTTTACAGCTGGCACTGAATCCACTGAACCACAACAGCCAGGGCAAGGATATTATCTTATTTTGTAATGGAGGACAATAAGTAAAATGATGCTAAATTTTGCCATTATTCAGCAAGAAAGCTGCCATATCCAGGGAGAGTTCTTAAATTTAACTGAACATTCAGTGTCATAAGATGAACAGAGGTCACGTGTCATCCCCTTCTGTTGGATAGTCTAGTGTGCCAGGAGGATAGCGTTAGGTATTTCTTTTAATTTTTTTGTAGCAGTTTGCACAGAGGTACGGGGATGAGATCTACAATGGACCGGAGTGGGGGTTGCCCCGACTTCATAGCTTAAGGCCCCACAGGAGCCGGGATGCCTTGTAACATTTCCATCGGCAGAGCGTTCAGCCACCTGTAAGGGACATGCTGTTCCAAGAGTCACTGCACTCAGAGAAAGCCACAAAGTATGAAGTTCCTGGTAGTTATCCTGGTCCAGAATCGGTTGGCCAGTCAGGGGTTGTTCTTACCAGAAGCTGTGTTGTCTGCGTAGGTAGCATTGTTGACACTCTGACATTCATCAGGTAGCCTGGGGAACAAAACCGAAGAGTTAAACTAAGGTTAGATTCTCATGCGTTACGGGGACAGGTTTTTGTTAGTCTTTACTCATGGCTGCAAAGAGAATCTGTACCTATCGAGGGTAACCAGTTTACTTGTGTGGCTAGGATATACGCCTTAAGTCCCTGGAAGGAATTGTACAACCTGGCACCTAGTCTCAGACATGAGAGCTGTAGTGTGGATTCCTGGCTTGGATGGGGAAAAGAAAACCACTATAAAAGACATTTTTATTAAGTTAATTGGGATGACATTAGTTAGTAACATTATATATATATTTTTTCCCCAATGAAGTACATTTATTAGGAAGAAAACTCCAAATAATCACAAGCGGTTCTCTCACACAATTCTACAATACGTCACCTGTACATTGCATTGTGTGCTCACCACCCAAAGTCTAGACTCCTTTCGTCACCATAATTTGACCCCCTTTACCCTCTTCATCCTCCCCCAACCCCCCCCCCGACACTTATGTTAGTGTCCGTGAGTTCGTTGTTTTGTTTGTGTGTTTTCTATTTAATAAGTGAAGTTAGGGTGCTCGTCTATAAAGGACATTTTGGGGGGGACAGTCTGAGTATTTACTTGCATTCGCAGTGGTATCGTTTTCTTTATGGAAGTGGGTATAGGATTTTGATCTATTTTGAGATTTAAACTAAACCAGTTAGAAGGTAGCCAGCAAGTTGATGTCAAGAATCTTTGCTCTCTTTAGGCCCATGCTCTTTAGGAAGCTCATGGTGAAGAACCCTGTTTCAGAGAAAACAGAATTACTGGAGCCATTTTTAGAACTTGAAATAAGGTTTAATCAGCATTGAACTGTATTTATTATTTTAACTGACAGTGTAAGTTTAGGAAAAAAGCCATGCTTGTCTGCAGTGCTTTAACCTGGAGGAGACTAGGAAAGGTGTGACGTGAAGCCAGCGGACACTAGTCCTGAACTTCTTTACGGTTTTGCAGGCAGGTCCAGCGCCCTCTGCTGTATCTCCTGGGGACCTGCTCTAGGTTTTGGGGACCTCTTTCCACTTTGTTCGGGTAGCACTTCTTTAGCTGGCTCTGCTTGGCACAGATGTGTTGAATCCTCTTTTTTTTGCTGATGGGGATGCCCTTTTTATTTTTCATCTTTCTAGGTTTTAATCCTTACTATTTTTTTAAATTTCTTTACCATCGTTTTAACAGAGTTGTAGTGAGAGACCGAAAGAAAAAAATACCCTGTGATCAGTCGACTATGTTGAATTTGAACCAGATACGTCCTCATAGTTTGGCAGAAAACACATGAAGACAGTGATCACTTGAACTACCTGCCCAGTGCTTTATGTCTTTTGTTTATTTTGAATTTTTTAAAAGGAAAATGAAATTTTAATAGTTTTTTAAAAAGATTTTTGTTTATCTTTTTTTAAAGATTTTATTTATTTATCTTTAGAGGGGAAGGAAAGAAGAGAGGGAAACATCAATGTATGGTTGCCTCTTGTGTGTCCCCTGCTGGGAACTGGCCTGCAACCCAGGCATGTGCTCTGACTGGGAATCGAGCCGTGGCTATTTGGTTCACAGGCCCGTGCTCAATCCACTGAGCTATACCAGCCAGGGTGGGAAATTAATTTTTTTGAAGATTTTATTTATTTTTAGAGTGAGGGGAAGGGAGGAAGAGAGGGAGAGAAACATCATTGTGTGGTTGCCTCTCCTGTGCCCCTGACTGTGGACCTGGCCTGCAACCTGGACATGCGCCCGGACTGGGAATCGAACTGGTGATCCTTTGGTTGGCAGGCCCGCACTCAATCCACTGAGCTATACCAATTGGGGCTGTTTATTTTGGATTTTTAAACATTTCTTTTCAAGATTCTCTTGGGGAATCTTTTAAGTGTTTGAAAACCTTGTTTCTGTTTTATGAGGAGAAACCCAGCCCTGGATGTTTGAGGGGAGGGAGAGGGAGTTGAAACTGAAAAGTTGGTGGTTGGAATTTATTCCTAGTTGTTCAGAATCCTTAAGAAATTAAACTGCTCCCTTACTTAGTAGTAATTGTTTTTTCTTTCTAGGATAATAGCTAAGGTTCTGGAGGACAACAAGCTGCCCGGTGCAATTTGTTCCTTGACTTGTGGTGGAGCGGACATCGGGTAGGTCAGTGATGGAGAATATCTTCCTGTGGAAGGGCCCCAGGTTGATTGACTAGAGTCGTCTGTACTAGAATAACAGCCCAGTTGCAACTGAAGTGCTGACCAGAAAAGGGAACCCGGGAATACAGCTTCTTTATTTAAATGTATTGTTTTAAAACACCATATAATTCACATACCATAAATTATCTCTTTAAAAATGTACAGTTCAGTTGTTTTTAGAATATTCATTGTTGTACAACCATCACTATTGTCTTATTTCAAAACATTTTGGGGTGGGGGCCCCAAAAGGAACCTCGTAACTATTGGCAGTCACTTCCCATTCCCCTCTCCCTAGCAACCCCTAAACTACTTTCTGTTTCCATGCAAATGCATATTTGGGACATTTCATAAAATCAGATCATGCAGCATGTGGCCTCTGTGCCTGGCTTCTTTCACTGAGCATAATGTCAGAGCCTCCTTTTAAACTGGAACTGACCATATAACTGCTCAGAACCACAATGAAACAGGTTATTACCGGCTTAGACTTTGATTAGGTGAGGTTTCATGGAGGTTGTCCTTTTTTAAAAAAAATCATATTTTATTGATTATGCTATCACAGTTTTCCTGATATTTTTTCCATGGTCCCCCTCCACCCAGCACCCCTCACTCTTTCAGGCAATTCCCCAACCATTGTTATGTCCATGGGTCATGCGTGTAGGTTTTTTGGCTACTCCATTTTCTCTATTGTATATCCCATGGCTTTTCTGGAACTACCTATTGTACTTATCTTTTTTTTTTTTTTTTTGCTTTTATTTAGTAGTAGTAGTAGTATTTTTTTAAATATATAATCTTTATTATGTTTCCTTTCATTACCATTTAGTCCCTATTTGTACTTCTTAATCCCCCTACCTCTTCACCCATTCCCCCACACCCATCTGGCAACCATCAAAATGCTTGTGGTATCCATGATTTTGTCTCTTTTCTTCTTGTTTTCTTAGTTGATTTTTTACATTTAATTATTGATAGCTATGTATTTGCCATGTTATTATTCATAGTTTTAGTCTTCTTAAATAAGTCTTCTTTAACATTTCATATAATAATGGTTTGGTGGTGATGGACTTCTTTAGCCTTTTTTTTTTTTTTTTTGTCTGGGAAGCTCTTTATCTGCCCTTTGGTTCTAAATGATAGCTTTGCTGGGTAGAGTAATCTTGGATGTAGGTCCTTGTTTTTCATGACTTCGAATATTTCTTGCCATTCCCTCCAAGCCAGCTGAGTTTCTTTTGAGAAATCAGCTGACAGTCTTATGGGAACTGCCCTGTAGGTAACTAATTTCTTTTCTCTTGCTGCTTTTAAGATTCTCTCTGTCTCTTCAGCCTTTGGCATTTTAATAATGATGTGTCTTGGAGTGGGTCTCTTTGCATCCATCATTTTTGGGACTCTCTCTACTACCTGGACTTGTATGTCTATTTCTTTCACCAAATGAGGGAAGTTTTCTTGGATTATTTTCCAAATAGATTTCCAAATTTCTTGTTCCTTCCCTTCTTCTGTCTTCCTACGATGTGAATGTTGAACCACTGGAAGTCGTCCCAGAGGTTGCTTACACTGTCCTCATTTTGGGGGATTCTCTTTTATTCTTGTTCTGGTTGGTTGTTTTTTGCTTCCCTATGTTCCCAATCATTGATTTTATTCTTGGCTTCACCCACTCTACTCTTCCTGGAAATTGTTCTTTATTTCAGTTAGTGTATCCTTCATTTCTGAGTGGGTTTTTTAATGCTGTTGAGGTCCTCACTAAATTTCTTGAGCATCCTTATAACCAGTGTTTTGAACTCTGCATCTCAAGATTGCTTATCTCCATTTTGTTTAGTATTTTTTCTAGAGTTTTGATCTGTTCTTTCATTTGGACCATGTTTTTTTGTCTTCTTATTTTGGCAGCCTCCCTATGTTAGTTTCTATGTATTAGGTAGAGGTGTTTTGTCTTTGTATCTTGGTAGTGTGGCCTAATGTAGGTGTCCTGTAGGGTCCAGTGGCACAGCCTCCCCTATCACCCAACGTGGGTTACTCGAGGTGCACCGTTAGTGTGGACTGAGCACATTCTCTCGTAATTGAGTCTTGATTGCTGTTGACAGGTCAGTGGGAGGAATTTACCCAGGCCAGTCAGCTGCAAGGACTGGCTGTGGCCACTGACCACCACCCTTTGCCCTTTATGGAAGATCAGCTGTGCGGGGCAGGGTGGTGGTGCTCTGATGTGATCTGTAGCTGACCACTGGGTGTGCTGGCCTGGTGTTGCAAGCCAAGGTCAGCCCCCACCTGTGCTCTGCCCAGGGCTATAAAGCAATCTGAGATGGCTGCTACTTGTGCATGTCTTGGACATTCCCAGGTGAAGCCAGGCTGTGAATCTAGGCTGGCTACTGCTAGTGCCAAGTCTTGGGCTCCCTCAGGCCAGCTGTGGTGTCGAGAGGATTTAGGAAGTTGTGCAGCCAAGACCAGCCATTTATATGGAAAGCAGGTTGGGTGGGCCCAAAAGCTGGGTGGGGCAGAGTCTCTGGGGTTCTCCAAGGAAGGTCAAACAGTGTTAGCCAGGTTGATGGAGTGTCAGATATGGCACCAGCTTGCCGGCTCTGTGGCTCTGAGGAAAAAGTGTTTACGAAAGAAACAATGGCCTCTGCTCGCCTTAACGCCAGACACTTCAGTTCCCCCCGTATGCCACTGGCGCCTTTCTAGTTGCTACGCCAGTGCTGGAGCTCAGAGGGAGGGAGCCTGAGTAAATGGGTCCCTGTGTGGGCTCTTTAAGAGGGACTGCTTGGGGCTCCAGAAGTTTCTTCCACTGACTTAATCTTTTCTGGTTTTTGCAGTGAGAAATTGTAGGGACTTAACTTGCTGACACTGGGACCCTGGGGTGGGGGTCCTGGTGTGGGGCTGGGACTCCTTGCTCCAGAGATATCCCTCCCGAATTTTTATTTTTATATATTTTTTAAGATTTTGTTTATTTATTTTGGTGTGGGGAGAAAGAAAGAGGAAGAGAAACATCAGTGTGTGGTTGCTTCTTGTGCACCCCCTAGTAGGGACCTGGCCTGCAACCCAGGCATGTGCCCTGGCTGGGAATTGAACCAGTGAGCCTTTGGTTTGCAGGTCAGTGCTCAGTCTACTGAGCCACACCGGCCAGGGCTCGAATTTTTGTCCACCACTCATGGGTGTCAGACTAGCCGTTCCATATCTGCCCCTCCTACCAGTCTGGGTGGGTGCGATTTCTTAACTCTGTAGTTGTCAGACTTCCATTCAACTCGATTTCTGATGGTTCTGAATGATGGTTGTTCTAAATTTTGATGCAGTTGTGTGAAGAGGTGAGCCATGTCTGCCTGTGTCACCATCTTGACCGGATGTCCTTGAGGTCAAGTCTTATAACTTTTACTGGTGTGGTTGAAATGTTAGTATCCCTCTGTCACTTTTTTCATACTAGTCTTCTTACTGAGTGACTTCCAAAATGAGCAATTAGTTACTCCTTTTTTTTTTTAGTAAGTGAAAAATATGTGTGGTGTGTTATCTACATGTCATTTACAACATGAGTAGTCTATCCTTCCACCAACTTTTTTTTTTTTTTTTTCCTTCTGGGCATCCAGTCCTTGGCTTTGACCTTAGCGTTGCTAAAGTAATTGCACTAGTGTGTAGCAGTGCATTAGAAAACGGCTGCCTTGGGTGTCAGTGCTCATGTTTGCTGGGCTGAGCCTGGGGAAGCCTGCATGGGTGGATTCATGAAGCTCTTCATGCCTGTATTAGACCGATGTGTGGCCACACCCTGCTTGGTCCACACCAAGCTTTTGAAGCACCAACTATGAGCAAAGAGGTTCAAACCATTAGTGTCTGGAAATCCTAGCACAGCCTAAATTTATAAATCATCTTCCATGAGGGATACTTGGGATATATCCTTGTACTTTTTAGATTTTTAATTCTTAAAGGAATTAGTAGTTTAAGAGTCTGCAAAGTAACTGGGCTGCTCCTCAAAGAAATGCTAAGGTCACATTGTTTCTTCACCCACCCAGTACAGGAAGGGCTTTCTTCCTTAACAATGGCTTCTGTTCATAGAGAGCTCACAGAAGAGGTTAACCTGTTTTGTTATATGGTTCTACTTGCGAAAATCTAGTTCATTTTCAAGGAGACCTTCCCATATTCTCTTGTAGCTTTGCCTTTCCAAGAGTCCAAGTCAGGGGTTTCTGGCCGGTACCATTAGGTGGCATCGTTTCTGGGTTTCTCTGCTCGAGTGACATTGTCTGTTGCCTTGTAGCACTGCAATGGCCAAAGATGAGCGAGTGAACCTGCTGTCCTTCACTGGGAGCACTCAGGTGGGGAAACAGGTGGCCCTTATGGTGCAGGAGAGGTTTGGTAAGTGTTGGCTTTCCAATGAGGATTTTAATTCCCTCAGAGGTATGGGTGTGAAATCTAAAAGTTGTTTTTCCCCCCATAGAGATACCAGCCATGTTTATTTGAGTGTCCAAGAAAAAGAAGGGTACAGTTGTTGGTGGGTTAATATGAGGGCAATCACAAATTGAAATAGCATCCTTTAGAAAAGGATGTCATTTTCTCTCTAAATGACTATAGTAGTATCATATCAAATGTATTTATCAAATTCTATCAGACTTGTTTGGCAAATTAAAAAAAAAGGAAACCCACAATTTAAACAGAATCACTGAGTACAGGACCTATATAGTGAATGTGGAATAGAAGATTTAAATGTGTTCTGTCATTTATATAAATATAACTTTGTATGCTCTACTTTATGAGTAATTTAAAAAGATATTTAAGGCTAATACTGACTTTCAGGTTTTGGCTATCATGAATATAAACTTCAACAAGGCAGGACTTGACTAGGTAATCTGCCAGCCCTTTTGCACTTTGAGCATTGTTTTTAAAAAGTAAGTTTACAAAAAACTATTAGAGCTAATAAGGTCGGCAAGGACATAAGACCAGTAAACAAAAGTCAGTTACATTTTATACATTAACAGTGAACAATCTGAAAATGAAAAACACCCATATAATAACATAACATCAAAAAGAAGAAAATAGTAAATGCAACAGAAGATGTGTAAGTCTCTCACACAGGGTGCTATAAAGCGTCGTTGAAAGATATTAAAGAATTAAATAAAAATAAAGTCATCCTATTTTCACTTTTTTGAAAAGTAAATATTGTTACTGCCCAAGATCAAGGTTGTACAAGTGTCTACAGACTTAATGCAATCCCTTTCTCGGTGTCAGATGGCTTCTCTGTGGAAATTGATGAGCTGATCCTAAAATCACATGTGAATGCAAAGATCCCTGAATAGCAAAGATAACCTTGGGAAAGAGGAACAAAGTTGCAGGACTCACAGTCTGATTTCAAAACTGAAGTACAACTGCACTGGTGAAGACTGTGTGGTACCGGCATACAGATACGCATAAAGGGCCATCGAGTAGAATTAACAGTTCAGAAAGAAACTCTTACTATTTTGACCAATTGATTTTGACAGGGTGCCAAGACATTTCAATGAGGAAAAAATGGTCATTTCAATAAACGATGCTAAGTCAGTTAGATATCCACATAACTGTGTGTGAAGTTGGACCTCAAACACCCCACTGAGTGTGCAGAAACTCACTGGGGTGGACCATTCCCTCACCCAGCACACAAAGACTAACTCAGAATGTGTCAGAGACCAAAATATGATTAGAACTATAAACCTCTTAGAAGAAAGCTCAGGAATAAGTTTCTATGACCTTGGATTATTATTTTATGACCTTGGAAAAATACATTTTAAATCTTTATGCTGGGGAGTATAAGGTCAGAATGGCATTGAGAGCAGGCTCTGTAACTTGCCTGGAATGTAAGTTGGCCGTATATATAGTAGCCCTTATATTCGTGCCCTTTGGCCCGGACCTAAGTAGGTCCAAGGTAGATATTCAGCAGTCAGTATATTCAACACTAGAGAAGTAACTAAATAAAATGGGGTACATCATCATGATGGATACTGTAGTGATTTTTCAAGAAAATGGCTCCTAGTAATTTTAAGGAGAAGGTATAACATACTAATCAGAGAACAAAGTTAATTAGCGTGATCTCAACTGAATATAAATGCACAGGAAAAAAGGTTGGAAGGCACTATAACAAAGTATATAGAAAGATTTCACGGTGACCTCTGGGTCATAGGCTTTTTCTGCTTGATACATTTTGCTCTTTAAAAAAAATAATTTTTTAAAAAAGATTTTATTTATTTATTTTTAGAAAGAGGGGAAAGGAAGGAGAAAGAGAGGGAGAGAAACATCAATGTGTGGTTGTCTCCTGTGTGCGCCTTACTGAGAACCCGGCCCGAAACCCAGGCATGTGCCCTGACTGGGAATCAAACCGGCAACCCTTTGGTTCACAGGCTGGCCTTAAATTCACTGAGCCACACCAGCCAGGGCTAAAAAAATAAATGTCTACAATGAGCACATAAATTTTAAACTGTTTTTATTGTGGTAAAATACATAAAACATGCCATTTACCATTTTAACCATTTTTAAGTGTGCTGTTATATGGCATTAAGCATATTTACATTATTATACAACCATCAATAACATCCATCTTCAAAATTTTTTTTGTGTTCCCAACTGAAACCCTGTGCCAATTAAAAACTAACTCCTGTCTGGTGTGGCTCAGGTGGTTGGAGAGTCATCCCATAGCCAAGTAGCTGCATGTTTGGTTTCCGGTCAGGGCACATACCTGGGCTGTGGGTATGTCCAGGCATGTTTGGGAGGTAGCTGATGAATGTTCCTCTCACATGGATGTTTTTCTCTCTCCCTTCCTCTCTCTGTAAAAGCCATGAAGGAATGTCCTCAGGCCAGGATCAAACAAACAAACAAACAAACAAATTCACTCCCCATTTCTGCCTTCCTCCAACCCCTTGGCAAGCATCATACTGTTCTACTTTTTGAGTCAATGGATTTGACTATTGTAGGAATCTCGTATAACTAGAGTCAGACAATATCTGTCTTTTTGTGACTGGTTTATATCACTTAACATAATGTCTTGAAGGTTCATCTTTGTTTTAGCATGTGTCAGAATTTCTATTCTTTCAAAGGTTGAATTTTATATATATACCATATATTTTTTTTATCCATTCATCCCTCAGTTGGGCACTTGGGTTGCTTCCGTCATTTAGTCATTATAAATACTGCTGTTGTGAACACGAGTGTACAATTATCTGTTTGAATTCCTGCTTTTACTTCTTGTGGTTAGGTACTTAGAAGTTGAGTTGCTAGATTGACCGTGCGGTAATTCTGTGTTTAATTTCTTGGGAAATTGCCATGTAGTTTTCCATAGTGGAAAACATAGCACTTACACCAACCTGGGGTTTTTTGGACATAACATCAAACTCAGAGAAAAGTTATAACATACACAAGTAATTTCTGCACACTGTTGAACAGATTCACCAATGCTTCCGTTTTGCCCCATTTCTTTTATCGTTTTCTCTCTCCAGGAACACACATGCGTGTACACTGTGGTTGTGTATTATTTTTGAACCATTTGGAGAACGTTGAAGACCTTGTGTTCCTTTACCACTAAATGTTTCAGTGTATTTCCTAACAACAAGTACATTCCATCATACAACCACAGTCCAATGAATGAAATCAGGAAATCTGATGTTGATTCAACATTCATGCTGTGTTTTAAATCTGGAAATAAATTAAAACATAATTGGGATAGGTTATGATTCGAAGCCATTTATCTTGTGCGTTAAATACTAAAATAGGCATTCATTTGTGTTTATATGTTTTTAAAGGGAGAAGTTTATTAGAACTTGGAGGAAATAATGCCATCATTGGTAAGGCCGCCCTTTGTTTTCATGTTGTTTTCCACTCAGAATACCGTCAGCAGTTGTCCTGAGTACATACATATACCTCGTGCAGGAACTCCTCTGTCCTGTGTTGTCTGTGCCAAGGTCTAATTCACATGTTGAAGAATTTTACTTGTGAGACAGGACACAGTGGTTTGAAGGCAGAGACAACTAGGAAGGAAAGGTGTTCGTGTTTGGAAAATGAAGCCGGGCTTAGAACCTGTGTATGAGACTTCCTAACGTGGCCTTGTTTCTTGTTTTTCCCTTCTCCCGTTTTCTGAAAACTGGTCACATGTGTCTCTAGAATGAGTAAGTATGTGACTTGTTGATTACACTGGATTTCAAAAACACTAGTGTCTTTAGTGGAATATTTAATGCTTTTATAACTGAGAAGGAGTGCTTCCTTAAAGCGTTTTAATCATTTATCTGTAGACTTTGATATTCTGTTTTTTAATTATTTGGCACAAAAGGAAATAATTTAACAATGTAACTGGATAATATAATGAATGTCAGTGGTTTGAGACTTTTTAAAAGCATGGATTTTGTGATAAAAAGCAAAATTTACTAATTTGTATATTGCCATCATCATGTTTAAATACCTATATATTTGTGGTATATAGAGTTTAAAAAGTATATGGCAAAGGGTTTGTAGGAGATGAACTTCTAATCTAGTTAAAAAGAGAGTTAAAAAATACAGTTAGCACTTAGTGAGCACTGGGTATTTGCTAGGTACTATGCTCCGCTGTTTCATGTGTATTATTTCATTTAATCCCCACAATAATCCCATGAGGGAGATACTGTGATTAATCTCATTTGAAGTTTCCACTCTGAGGCTTAGTGATTAAGTGCCTACTGTGCTGGGCCAGCAGGTGATAGAACCAGCACTGATATCCTGGCAATCAGACCCCAGAGCACTGCTCTTTCTTTAACTCCTTGCTATACCCCCCCCCCCGTCAGTACTCCAGGCATTATTATCCCACTTTATGGGTGAGGAAATTGACACTTCAAAAGGTAAAATAACACAACTAAAAAGTGATGGAAGTGGACAAGAACCCTGATCTGTTTGGCTGCACAAACCACCTTCTTGACCATCATGCCAGTCTGAGAATGCTGTTAAGACTGGAAAAGGGATCGTTGATGATATAAGAGGGAACTGTGTCTATAAGTTTCTCTGAGGGATGAGAAGGAAGGAATTACAAGTAATATAAATGGAAGGGTTAACTTTGCAAAGACTATGCTAGTTTTTTCTTCTGAGGGCAGAGGAGGTGGAGGAACGAATGGACCCAAGTAAAGAGAAATTTGGTTTTGCACTGATCTCTTCTGAAGAACAGAGGAAGCAGAAAAGGGCCCTTGGTGGGTGATCACTTTGAGGTTTTTTTCTAAGGGGGTTAAGGTAATCTGGTGGAGGAGTAAAGAGCTTGAGGGAGTTTGCAGATTTGGAAACACTCCTGTAGAGGGGCAACAAGGGGCATTTAAAGGCATGGACCGATGCAGGTGAGGATATGGATGTTAGAGAGTGAGTCTGATGTGGCGAAAATCAGAAGTCTCCCATTGTTACTCTCTCTATAGGCCCAGGGAAGCTGGCATCAACATGGGCCTGGGGTTCAGGCTGGAGGCAAGTAAAACTCAGAAAGGATGAGGTCTTAGAGAAGGCACTACATTGGGGCTGCAGAAGAGGCTTACTCAGTATGAGAAACGTTGAGAAATGAAAGATGAGGAGGTCAGAGGAGCGAGAGCCTCCATGTACATCTGTACTTGGATAAAGACCGTAGGGCTCTTTTCTCCTGTGATTTTCTCTGGATGGAAAGTGGTCTCTGCAGTGTGAACATGTTTATTTTGCAGGGATCATCCTGGTACTCTGTTACTGCAAGTCCTGTAGTAAAGGCATCATTTATACCAGTTAGCAAGTACCTTGTCTGCCTATTTCACGACACTGATGGGTGTGTGTTTGTGCTTCTCTAAGCTTTTGACGATGCGGACCTCAGCCTAGTCGTTCCTTCAGCTCTCTTCGCCTCCGTGGGGACGGCCGGCCAGAGGTGCACCACTGCCAGGCGCCTGGTGAGTGTGTCTGCATAGTCACGTGAGCTTGTCCTGCACTTCGATCACCACTTTTTAACAAATTGTGTAGGGAGGTGTCATAGAAGTGTTGTTAGAAACATGGACTTTCTAGATGTGGTTGGCAAATATGAGGCCCTATTCTCTCCTCTCTGCTCATGGCACATGTTGCCAGTCAACCAGGGATTCGCTCTGATTGGCTGGACTTGGACTGGGAGGTGACGCCATTTTCAGTCCCTCACTGAGATCAATATGAACAAAGTCCAATGTCACTTACAGATGAAAACAAGGTAAATAGTTGAAAAATTCTAAAACTGTCAGCTGAAAGATAGACAGCCTTGTTTTTTTTTTTTTTGTTTGTTTTTTTTAACTAAATAGAAACATTTAAAGATTTTCATTTCTGGCCTAGAAATCAAGTCTCAGATTTGACCTGGTGTGACGTGGCTCACTGAAAAGCAAATGACTCTGTGTGTTGTTTTTCCTCTTGATAATAAGCAAGAGGTTGTTTAGTTTCCACATGTATAGGGCTTGGGGCATTTAATCCACACTCAGACTTGGCTGGATTTCAGTTCGTGTCAGGTATGGCCTTGATTTTCATGGCTCTCATGGAACTGAAAACCTGTGGGTGCTGTAGCCAGACAGATTTCAGTTAGGTACAAAATTTGGCTACGTTTACCAGCTTTAAGTGATTAGTGTTGAGTTTTCTTTCTGTTTAATTAGAAAAGCAGTTTGCAGTTGAATTACAGAGGAGTTGGCTTTGGGTTTTACTGTCATCCACAGTGAGTGTGATCAAGTTCTTCATAAGGTTGGCATAATTTAAATTAATGAAATTAAGATAAAAGATATGTGGAATTAGTCTTTACTTTTCCCAACACATTTTATATTAATTTTTCCTATATTTTACAACAAATGAATCTTTCCTTTTTTAACATTACTCTGTTGAAGTTGTCAAAAAAAACTAAGATGCAGTGTTCATAATTTATAATTTAGTAAATTTATTCACCTTAAGCATTTGTTACATTAATGCTAAGAAGAAAATGTGTTCTTTAAAAATGATCATAATCATAATTACATGGCAAATACGAAATGACATAAAAGAAGCATTTTTTATTCAGCCAACTTTTCCTTTGTGCCTTAGAGCAAATACACATATCCATGTTTTATATGTAGTGTTGAAAATTAGACCATATTATTAGCCATTGCCCAAGATCGATTTCCATAGGAACAGTAAAGTAACAGGTAGAGAAATCCACTGCAGTACTGCAGATCTTCTCATACCTAGTGCTCATAATGCCGATGCATTCGCCACATGGAGACCAACTCAGAGAACAGATGGCAAATTCATCTCCACCTCTGGGAACATGGCATAGAACTTAAATCCTACCCAGAGTGAGTCCAATGCTTGTCCTCACCGGATTAAGGCCTCACTCTAGAGACCTAGTTGGCCTGAGGTTATGAGCATATGGTTACACAGCAGCAGAGGTAGGCTGACCAAATCCTGGTGGTGTGTATTCACCATTACTCATACAGTTACAGTGTGGGATAGTTGTGCTTGAGGTTTTCTGCTTTGTAAGCTGTTGAATGCTCTAGAAAGAAAACAGGCATAATTGATTTGTGAAGCTCTTACTCAGATAGGTCCTTATGGACTTGATAAATACTTGTCTTGGACTTCCAGTCAAGATGGCAGCATAGGTAAACACGGCTCATCTCTTTGCACAACCACATCAAAGTTGCAGCTAAAATATAGACCAGCCATCACTCAGAACTGTCAGAAATCAAGTTGAATGGAAGTCTGACAATTACAGAATTAAAGAAGCCACATCCATCCAGACTGGTAGGAAGGGTAGAGACAAGAAACTGGCTGGTCCCACATCCACGTGTGGTGGATAAAATCTGGGAGGGACAGAACAGGGGTGAGGAGTTCCAGCCCCACACTGGGCCCTCAGCCCAGGGTTCCAGTGCCAGGAAGATAAGACCCATAAATCCTGGCTGCAAAAACCAGCGGAGATTGAGCTGGTAATAAAAACTTCTGGAGTCCCAAACGGTTCCCCTTAAAAAATCCATACACCCTACAAAAACAAAAACAAAACAAAAACCCCATACACAGACTTATTCAGTCACTCCCTCTGAGCTCCAGCCCTGGGTAGCAGCTTGAAAGGCACCAGGGAGGAATTGGAGTGTCTAGTATCAAAGCGAGAGCTGAGGGACAGCTTTCTCTCAGAGAGAAAGGTGGTTAGAGACTGTTGTTCTATTTCTGAGCCCTCCCTCCCTACAGCCACAAAGCCAGCAGGCAGGTTGTATGTGAGACTCCATCAACTGGCTAAGACCGTTTTTCCCCACCTTGGGGATTCCCAGAGACCGTCGAACCCAACATGTGGGCCCAATGGCTGGTCTTCTTTTGTGCTTCACAATACCCTAAATCCTCTAAAAAAGGCCACAGCCTCCCTCATTGAGCCCCCAGCTCCCATACGTCTTGGTAAGTGGCCCCAGGCCCAAGCACTAGCAGCAGCCAACCTAGATTCATAGCTTGGCTTTGCCTGTGAATCTCCAAGCCCAGCACAAGTAGCAGCAGCCATCTCAGATTGCTTTATAGCCCAGGTAGGGTGATTCTGGGCAAACACAGGGGTGGCTGACCTTGGGCTGCACCATCTGGGAAACCCAGAGCCTGTCCACCACGCAGACAGCTGCAGACCACATTGGAGCACCACCACCTTGTCCCTGCACAGCTGATCTTCCATGAAGGGTAGAGGGTGGTGGTCAATGGTCACAGCTGGTCCTTGTAGCTGACTGGCCTGGGTACATCCCTCCCACTGACCTGCCAACAGCAATCAAGGCTCAACTATAAGAGGAGGGTGTACTCAGTCCTTGAGTTACCCAGCTTGGATGATAGGGGGGCTATGCCACTGGACCCTACAGGGCACCTACTACATTAGGCCACACTACAAGACATGGAAGCAAAGCAGCTGTACCTAATACATAGAAACTAACCTAGGGAGGCTGCCAAAACAAGGAGACAAAGAAACATGGTCCAAATGAAAGAACAGATCAAAACTCTAGATAAAATACTAAACAAAATGGAGATAAGCAATCTGTGAGGTGCAGAGTTCAAAACACTGGTTATAAGGATGCTCAAGGAGCTTAGTGAGGACCTCAACAGCATGAAAAAAGCCATTTGAAAACAAAGGCTACACTAACTGAAATAAAGAACAATTTCCAGGGAGACAAGAGTAGAGTGGGTGAAGCCAAGAATGAAATCAGTGATTGGGAAATAAGGAAACCAACCAGAACAACAAGAAGAAAAGAGAATCCAAAAAACAAGGATAGTGTAAGCAGCCTCTGGGACAACTTTAAGTGTTCCAACGTTCACATCATTGGGGTGCCAGAAGGAGAAGAGGAAGAGCAAGAAATTGGAAATCTATTTGAAAAAATAGTGGAAGAAAATGTTACTACGTTGGTGAAGGAAATCGAGACATGCAAGTCTAGGGAGCACAGAGAGTCCCCCAGAAATGGATGCAAAGAGGCCTACTCTGAGACACATCATAATTAAAATGCCAAAGGTTAAAGCTAAAGGGAGAACATTAAAAGCAGCTAGAGAAAAGCAGTTAATTACCTACAGGGGAATTCCCATAAGACTATTAACTGATTTCTCAAAAGAAACTCATCAGGCTAGAAGGTACTGACAAGAAATATTTAAAGTTGTAAAAATAGGGACCTACAGCCAAGATGGTTCTACCCAGCAGAGATACCATTTAGAATGGAAGGACAGATAAAGAACTTCCCAGACAAGAAAAAAACTAAAGGAGTTCATCATCACCAAACCATTATTATATGAAATGTTAAAGGCACTTATTTAAGAAAAAAGAAGATCAAAAGTATAAACAACAAAATGGCAATAAATACATACCAACAATTGAACCCCAAAAAACAAACTAAGCAAGAAGAACAGACAGAATCATGAATACAGAAAGAGTTTTGATGGTTGTCAGATGGGTAGGGTGTGTGGAGGAATGGATGCAGAGGCGGGGGGAATAAGAAGTACAAATGTGTAGTTACAGAATAGCCATGAGGATGTAAAGTACGGTGGAGGAAGTGGAGTAGCCAAAGAACTTACATACATGACCCACGGACATGAACAGTGGGGGGGACTGCCTGAGGGAGTGGGGGTGCTGTGTGGAGGGGGAAAAGGGGAGATTGGGACAACTGTAGTAGCATAATCAATAAAAAAACTTGTCTTATAATTTTATTCTAACATCCACCTAGAGAAAATTATCTTCATGTAGTTAAATTTAAATCAAGAGATTATATAATTAAAAAGTAAACATGCTTCTATTTGCATGTTTTAGAGATCACAATAGATCAAAATTATATGAACTATAAATCAGTATTATTTAAGAAAAATTGTGCGTTGTTAACAGATTTGTCCATTTGACTGTTCCCATGTGTATTTGTCTTTCTCTTAGTTTTTACATGAAAGCATCCACGACGAGGTTGTGCATAGACTTAAGAAGGCCTATGCACAGGTCCGGGTCGGGAACCCATGGGACTGTGAGTATCTGGTTGATTTCAGATGTGCTCCTTTTCGATAGCTGTTGTTACCAGTGTTTATGATCTTCCCCCTTCCCTGAGAGGAGTCTGGGCATACAAAGCAGATAGAAGGCATTTAAGGTGATGTGTCTGCTTCTGGGTTAGGATCTTGAGTGTCGACGTGGGCTGGGGGGTGAGTTTGGCAATGGTGCTGAGATGGGATGCGTTTGGTGAGTCTTTCTCTCTTCACTGTTATTACCCTTGTCCAAGCCATCGCCCTCTCTCGTGGAAGGCTGCAAGAGTCACCAGACTGACTTTCCTGCTTTCACTTCTGCCTTCCACAGTGACCAGAGTGATTTTTTAAAGTGCAGTTAGATTAGATAATTCCCTCTCCTACTTTAACTACTCCAGGACTTTCTTTGCTCTTCAACTGTAAGTCAAGATTTTTTACTCCCTCTCTAGCAGGCTCCGTGTGACCTGACCTCTGTGCCTCCCCTCCTGCCTGCCTTTGCCCCTGTGCTCCCTGAGCGCCAGCCTTTCCAGCCTTTTGTGCTCCAGGGCTCGCAGGCTCTGTCCCGCTGCTCTCACTGCTGGAAACGCCCCTCACCCAGCTCTTCCCACCACAGGCTTCCTGCTGCAAGCCCACCTCCTCCCTGAGGCCCGTCTAGGTCTCTCTCCTCCCCCCTTTCCCCAGGTAACCTTTCTGCTCTGCTTCCTGGCAGCCATACGTAGGGCCGCATCAGTCTTCCCCTGTAAATTGCACACCAGCTGCTGAGCCTGCGAAGTTCTTAGAGAGCGATCACACTGCAGTGAGTGAACAGGTGCTGTGTTTTTAACGTGGCACTCTGATGAATGGATCTAAACCAGGGTTGACACATGTGGCCTGCCACTTGTTTCTGTACGAAAGTTTATCAGCACGTGGCCACCCCTACTCGTTTACCTATCTTCTGTGGTTGTTTTCACACCACAGTGGCCAAGCTGAATAATGGTGAGGGACCACAGACGTCATGCAGAGCATTACACATTTGCAGTCTGTCCCTTTACAGAAGGTCACAGACTCCCCTTCTAAACTGAAGGGCTGCCTGGAGGGGTTGGTCTGTTCATTCGGAAAGTTGTTATAATAATAAATGATGCTACTTAGGGTAAAATGAGGAATATCTCTTTTTCTCCCCAGCCAATGTTCTCTATGGGCCACTGCACACCAAACAGGCAGTGAGCATGTTCCTTGGGGCAGTGGAAGCAGCAAAGAAAGAAGGAGGCACAGTGGTCTATGGCGGCAAGGTAAGGAAAGTTCTGGGCCCAGGCAGGGCTCTGGGCCAACTGGCGAAGGTCTCGAACTGGTGTCTTTCTTCTCTCCTCCCTTATGTGAGGGGGAAATGCAGGTTTGGAAGAATGACGACGTACACTGCATGGAAAAATTCTGGAACGACACACAATTTCAGCCAGTTGCCTTTGAACTGAGTCTCTAGGAATTTGTATGGAGGAGGGAAAGCTTTTTATGATACAGTAGAAGACTTTGTATTCAGAGTAGTTAGAATTTGTAGGTTATGGTTATTTAATAGGTCAACTAAGGCAGGGAATCAAAAAATACACACCAAAACCATTTTAATTTAACACAGATAACGACATTTGATTCTTTGGGTGGAGTCGAAGCATTTTCTTCAGGTGTGGTAGGAATTTGTCTTCATCCTTGCAGTAACTGCACCAATCATTTATTGTCGACGAGCTAGTTTCAGTTTCTTCAAAATTCACTGAGAACTGAGTTTCTTGTGAAGCTGAGAGAAGACTCCTCCTCTCTAGTCATCTTAATCACCAACACACCCACATTTCATTGGACAGCGTGTGTATGAATATGTATGTATCTATTTTTTACTTTTATTGGGTTATTTTCTAAAACATTCAACTTAATTTTTGTGGAAATAGCTCTTTTTTTTCCTTTGTATAATATTTATTTAAGTTTTGCAACACAGTATAGCATTATAATAACAGATACAGCTGCCATGCCCAGGATCTGGAGTGAAGACAATTGACTCTTGGTAAACATGCAGCTCAGTGGGTGAGCGCAGAGTTACAGGCACCAGGAGGGTCAGCCAGCAGCCAGAGCAGCTGGCTGTGGCCATCAGTATGATACGGAAGGAGAAGTGGGCACTGGGTAATAGTAATTTGGTTAGTGGAGGTTGGTTAGGAGTGCCTACACTATAGCCTTTTGGGGCTTTTCATTTTTGTATAATGTGTATTAGTTTACTATGGTTATCATAATAAAGGGTCATAGACTGGGTAGCTAAAACAACAGAAATGTAATATTTTTCTCACAGCTGTGGGGATTAGAAGTCTGAAAATCAAGGTGTGGCGGGGTTGGATTCTGGCGAGGCCTGTGTGTCCGGCACAGAGTGTCCTCACTCAGCCTTTCCTCCGTGCGTGAAGAGAGGTCATCTCTGGTGTCTCTACCGCTTATTGGGACATTAATTCTATTTGATTAGGTCCCCACCCATGTGACCTCATTTCACTTTTGTTACCTCCGTAAAGGCCCTGTCTCCAAATTCAGTCACAATGGGGTTAAGGTTTCAACATATGAATTTAGGGTTGGAGGGTACAGTGTAATTGACTGTATACACAGTGGGTAGAGATTACCCATTTTAAAGTTAAATAAATTTTACAATCCTCACTGTGACTGATTTCAATGCTACTTGGTTGTAACAAATGGCATAGCTCTCCATCCTTGATCCCTGTCCTTTTCCTATTTTTCTCTGACCACGTTAGAGTCGATAGGAGCCGGAGGAAGTTTATGTTCATGATGGGAAGTTATTTTGCAGAAACAATTCACCTAAAGTGGTGTTGGCTTTTGTCACAAGTATAGGCAAACACTGTCCTCTGACCACAAGTACTGGGATATAAACTGCTTTCATTGTCTTCATTTCATCTCTCTACCGCAGGCTATGGATCGCCCTGGGAACTACGTAGAACCGACCATTGTGACAGGTCTCACCCACGACGCGTCCATTGCCCACACAGAGACTTTTGCTCCGATTCTTTATGTCTTTAAATTCACGGTAAAGATGGGTCCTGTCTCTCTCTTCTCTAGTCTCACGTTGAAACAAACGAGAAGACCAGGAGAAAATGAAGGTGTATTAAATTCCACTTGACTTGCCTTTAGGGGGAGGTATTAGAAAGTCATTTTGGTTAGTCTAAATTTGACGGTTATGGCTAAAATATGACGGGATGAACAGTTCAAACTAGAGAGCATGCCAAGCTAGCTGCCTGGGAAGCCGGGTGAGCAGGGAACCTATGCTGCTGTTTATGGAGAAGGCGGCCCTCATTTCCTGTATCACCTGGTTCTGAGCTGTGCGCACCAAACATTGGGCTTCTCTGCAGAAGAACTAGATAGTTTGATAGTCTGAGAGCTAAGTTTCAGCAGACAAAATGGGAAGACAGAGGGCAGCCTAAAGGTCTACAGTTACAGTCTGCATCAGAGGACAGATGGGCTGTGGAGGTTTTAACAGAGGAAGGTATAGAGGGTCTCCTTCCCCAGCATGGGGCAGGCCCTCGCCGTGCCAGGAAATATTTAGAGACTCATTCAGGGTTTGATCATGCGGTGATTAACAGTCCAAGGATCATGAGGATCACGCCTGTTGTTACTACATGATCGTATTTTTTAAATCTTGCTTTAAATTGTCTATCACCTTTCCCAATATGGTGACTAGACAGTATAATTTCATGTTTTGTAGTGTGTGTGTCTGACTGAGCTCTCCGGCAAATAATTTAGCCTCTCTGTGCCTGCTTTGCCTAATCTGCACATTGAGGATAATAGAAAACCTGTGCCACAGAGTGAGCATTACCTAACTGGATGCATGCTAAGTGCTCAGGGCAGTGTGCGTGATGAGAGCTGAAGAAGTATTAGCTATTATATGTAATAGCTTGAATAGAAGAATGTACTGCAAGAATGGAAGCTCTTCATTTCTTAAAGCACAATTAGGGAGAAAACCCCACAAAGACACTGTAAGTGAAACAGAGTTAGTCAGATGTTGACCCTGTAGTTTCCTTGTTTTGCCCTCAAATTGTACCAGCACATCTCATGAAATGAGTTCAACGTTTGTAACTTTGACTTGAACACCGTGTAGTGTAACAGCTTCTAACGTCTGCCCTTTCAGAATGAAGACGAAGTCTTTGCGTGGAATAATGAAGTCAAGCAGGGACTTTCAAGTAGCATCTTTACCAAGGACTTGGGCAGAATCTTCCGTTGGCTTGGGTATAACTGTGTTTATTTAAGTCTGTGTAACCCATGTAAGGCTTATTTGCATGGTGAGGGACTTTAAAAAAAGAAAATGGCACCATCATGCTTGAAAATTCATTTTTTGGCACTGAGAGTCTTAGAGGTTTTGTTTGAATTTTGTTTTTTACTTTCCCATACGATGCTTTCACCATGCCCCCCCTTTTTATCCACAGACCAAAAGGATCGGACTGTGGCATTGTGAACGTCAACATTCCAACGAGCGGGGCTGAGATCGGAGGTGCCTTTGGTATGTAGAGAATCGTTTTTTTGTTTTCCACGTTGGGCAGTGTGTTAGTCTGCTAGGGCGGCCATAACAAAGTACCACAGGGTGGTGGCTTAAACAACCAAAATTAATTTTCTCACAGTTCTGGAGGCTGGAGGTCTAAGATCAAGGTGTTGACAAGTTTGCTTTCTCCCGAGGCCTCTCTTCCCGGCTTGCAGATGAGATGGGCACCTTTCTCCGGAGTCCTCATGTGGCCTTTTTCTGTGCAGACATCCTTGGTATCTCTTCCTCTTATAAGGACACCAGTCCTATTGGCCGAAGGCCTTGACTTTGACTTCATTTAACCATAATTACCTACTTAAGCACTCTATTGCCCAAATACAGCTACATTCTGAGCTGTTGGAGGGTAGGCCTTGAATATATTCATGGGATAGGCAAGGAAGAGTAGGGGAGACAATTCAGCTCATAACAGGCGGTAAAGGAAAAGCAGTCGTAGCCAGGAAACTGAAATAATAGCCTTATCTGGTCTAACCTTCTTGACGAAGCCTGTGCTCCATGTTCAGAGTTCCTGTCCAGGGTCCTTCCTTTCATTCTCAGATGCAGGACCACACTGGAGCAGGGCCCTCACCTGAGCTGTGCGGACCCTGAAAGGGTGGCATCTGTTTTCTGGGGAGAGGGTTCAAGACCCCAGAAAAGATTAAGAACCCTTGTTTTAATGTCAGAAAAATTCACCCCCAAAATTCTGAATTTTATTGGCAAAGTGGGCACAGTAATATGTTAAACGTTATCTTTCATTTTAGATAAAATACTAAGTTGTTTCTTTTCACTGAGCCCTGTTTCTGTTTTGTCTTTATGCTTTGAGTTCTTTGTGCTTAAACTTAGTAATAGCAATAATTAAAAAAAATCTTCCCAACAATCATCTATTGTTTTACTTACTGAAAATGATCATACAATGTACAGATGATGTACTATAGAATTATACACCTGAAACCTGTATAATTTTTTAACTGTCACCCCAATAAATTCAATTAAAAAATAATCCAAAGTACAGTAATAACAGATTGCCTTTAAATATATAAAGAAGCAGAACAAAATTTGTTAATACTTGTAAAAGTTTAAATAACTCGGGGCATTCCTTCATCTCTTTTAGACCGAGTGCTGTAATTACTATCCAGTGCGACAGAAGGTTTCTGCTTTCAGTTCAGCCCTCCGCTCTCGCCCTCCACTGTTTAGTGCCCGAATGTGTCTGTCTGTCCTCCCTGGCCCTTTAATCCCTGTGTCCAGCCGTGCCTTCTCTTTCCCATGGACTCCTCTCCATTTCAGCCTTCACAGTTAATTTTTTTTTTAAAGTCTTATAGTGGTAAAAGCAGTTCTGCCCCCACTTTCCTCCTCCTTTCCCAGGCACAAATACTTTGAGATTCTTACTAAATGAAAAAAGTAATCTACCTCTGAATTTACTTTAATTTTTCTAGTGTGCTTTAACTGCACTCTTTGACAGCCTGAGACATTATGTATTGACCCATTGCTGTGCTAGGTTAAGCTTCTTCAGTTTTCAGTTTCCCTTTAAGTGATATGGCATTAGTGTGTGGGGCGAGGTGCAGGGGGAACCGGGGACAACCTTCTAAGGGTCTTCTCCAGTGGTGTCACAGATCGTGACAAGTGTAGTCCACCAGGAAAGCTCCTTAAGGACTTTGCATCAAAGGTTTTTACTGGGGGCAGATGACAGAGGCACCCTCAGCGGAGCAGAAGGAAAGCAGGTGTTTGACACAAACCACATTGTTTGTAAAAACCGTTCGGGCCCAGTGAGACACCTGAGCACTCAGGGAACGTTTTCTGTGGGTGCAGGGGACTGTGGAGCGGCCGAGTCCCGGAGGCCAGCAGCATTGCGGCAGCCCTGCTACCCCTTTTCTGCAGCTTTGTAGGAGTTTTTCCTCAGACTTTCGAAACTAATTACCCATTTGTCTTCTGGTTTCCAGCGTTGTGGTTGAAAAGCACAATCCACTTTGGTTTCTGACCTTTTTCCCCTGTTTCAAAAAATATCGGTTCCACTATTTACTTGTTATGTCTGACGTTCTGAAATTGCACAGGAATGTGCCTCAATGGAAATCTTTGTCAAAGTATTTGTTGGGCGCTCAGTGGCCAGTGATTGGCCGTAGAATATTGGGCCTCCTGGTGTTTCCAGTTCTGATTCTGCTTTGGTCCTGTTTCTTTGACAATTTTTTCCCTTTGATTTTCTCTATTTTAATTTCTGGAACTCCTGTTATTTAAATGTTACCTCTTAAAAAAATCAATTGTCTGATTTTGTTATATTTTCCCTCATTTAGTCTCTTTGTTTTTTACATGGGAAATTTCATCAGATTTTTCTTATCCTTCTATTAAGTATTTTCTCCTCTATTATTAAAAACAACATTGAAACTTATTTCTTGGGCTTTGATGGCACATTTTTAAATAGTGTCCCTTTCTCGTTTCATGGAGTCACTATCGTCTTATAGCCTCTCTGTGGATATTAATTTAACATTTAAAATGTCTTATTATAAAAGCAGTTTATGTATGTGGTAGAAAATTACATACAAAGAAGCATAAATGAGAGAATAAAAACATTTCCACTGTCCAGAGGTTCGATTCTTAACACCTTGGTCTAATGATAAGGTTGTTTTAAAGGTTTTCTTCTGCTGCCTGAGACGTGTCTGTTTCCTCTTAATTCCTTCCATTTTCCCTCCGATTTTCCCTCCGATTTTCATGTTTCTGTTGGTCTCTGTCTTTTACTTATTTGTTTGTGAAGGAGACTGTGGGCTAAATGTAAAAAGGACGGGGCTGCTCGGGCCCTCACCGCACCTCAGTGACGCTGAGTGGGAGCCCACGCAGAGGGGCCGCGGAGCGGGGGTGCGAGCCGCCTTTGTGTCCCTCCAGGAGGCGAGAAGCACAGCGGCGGCGGCCGGGAGTCGGGCAGCGACGCCTGGAAGCAGTACATGAGAAGGTCCACGTGGTAAGCCGGGGCTTTGGGGCTGGCGGGACTCAAGGCGGCTGCAGCGTGCTTTTGCATTCTTCTCCTTTCTGCTGTTTTAGGTGTTTTCGTTTAATTTTACTTTCTCTAATGTTCCGAGCTCTTCCCTCCCAGAGCCTCCGTTTTGTACTAGTATTTGTCTGCCCCTTCTTGTCAAGCTCCAGCTAGTGCCCAGCACAGCGCCCCCCTGAGAAACCATCTGGCCGGTGGTTCTACCTAGAGTCAGCCTAGGAACGGCACGCGCGGGGTGGGGGTGTCCGCCAGCAGGGGGAGTGCACGAGGCTGTCCTGTTTCTGTGTTCGCCTCGGGTGTGGCTGCCACCCTCGCAGACCGAGGAAGCAGAAGGAGATGGAGCTGCGCCAGGGGCCCGGGGGCTGCGGGCCTGGCTGCCAAGCTGGGGGATACCGGCTCTCAGAATAGGGAGCAATGCCCCGTGGAAGCTGGTTAGCTCATCCACCCAGCACGTGGTAGTTGGTGAGGGAGCCGGCTTCTAGGAGATTTTGTGTTTCTTTTACTTGAGTCCTGTTTCTCCTCTTTGGGTAGAAAGCGCTGTATCCAAGTGCAGTGAAACAGTGGGGTCAGGCCCATGTGGCATTAAGTCGCCAGAAGAGCACAGGGTGCGGGACCCAGGACACCCGTCCTCGTCCCATTTATTCCTGCTTACTAGCTCTCTAACCTTGGGCCTGCTTCTCGACCTGGGCTCCTTTTGTGGTCACCGCGACTTTCTGTCTGTGAGAAATCTCTGAGGTGCTTTTGGCTGTGGCTCGTTAAGTCTCCAGCATGTACACTCTGCCTGGTTTTCCTTCTCTGAAGTCAGTTACGTTCCTTTTACTTTTCCTGAGCACTCTGGATCTAGAATGGAAACTTTTATCTCTGGCCTTTGGGAACCCGTTTAATGGGACACTTTTCCTCTTAGGAGAAAGAGGAGATCATTATCAGATAACTGACGCATAGGGAAGCTCTTATTTTCTAAATTATTATAGCTCTTATTTTTTTTTATCAAAACGAGATATTTTTCCTGCTAATTCAGTACAAGTTATTGAGAGATAGAAAGAAAATTGTCCCGATTCCATGTTCTTGTGCCCTGATAACTATGAGTAACACAGATGCTCCGTGTCTTTCCAGACTTTTGTGTTTTTCTCTCCTTTTTAAATGTTTCATAAAACCAGATACACACTAACAGTGCTTTGTATCCTGTTTTCTTCACCAGCTTGTAACTTGGACATTTCACCTTGTTAATATATATAGATCTACCACATTTTTAAAAGGCATAGTAATATTCTGTATAATGTATGTACTATCCTTCATTTAATTTTGTTTATTTTTTTTCCTCCCTAGTACCATCAACTACAGTAAGGACCTTCCTCTGGCCCAAGGAATCAAGTTTCAGTAAAGGTGCTTTAAATCGACATTACTTCAGGTCTTTTAGGTTTTCTTGCATCTCTTTCTTCTGAGGAAGACAGAAAACGAAGCTTTGCCCTGAATAAATGCATCATTTGGAGTAGACAGTGGCTAACCCTTTATGCCCCCAAGGTCCTGACTAAATCAAGAGACTCATTTTTAAAAAATAAAAGTTGTCACAGCGTAGCCATATTTAGTAAAAGATAGAAAAATGGTTTTTTATGTTACAAGTAGGTACTAATTTTTTTAAGTTTATAATTATTTTATAATTTAGACAAAATAGTTACATGCCATGCTAGGAATTTGGGAAAACACAGAACCGAATGGAGAGGAAAATAGAAGTCTTCTCGGTAGATGCAGGAACATCTCCTCAGCAAGTAGCGGATTCTCTGGTGAGTGTTGGTTCCCACTGCCCTCTTCCAGCCTGTGCTGGGAAGGGTATGATTGACAGGGAGAGTATCCCTTTTATGGAGGGGGCCGTACAGCACATCATCTGTGGAAGGACTCGACTCGCTCTGTTAAATATGACTAAGGTATTTGTCACCATTACGACTTCTGCCCACGGTGGCTCGTGTCACCACAGGAAAAATTTGTGGGGTGGACATAGCTATTGCACCTGCCCCTGCCATGTACTCTGCCTGTGTAGCTTTGATAAAAAGAGTCTCTGGATTTCTCATGCAGCCTTAGGCCGTTTGTTTAGCTGGTAGGCTGCTACAGTTGCCCTTGGGTTTGTTCTTGGAGAGTTTCCTCAGTGTGTGGTGCATATGTCAGAGAGAAGTCAGCAGAGGCCACTGTCTCTTTGCTGAGAGTCTACTTGCAGCAGCCTTTGGAGTGGTTCTGCCCCGGGCCCCTGTGGAACTAGAACTGGCCCATGCAGCTCTCCTCTTCCTGTCAGTCTGCACTCCCCCCCCCCCCCATGGACAGCCACCGCTGCCCCCTGGACTCCTGCCAGATTGGACTGGGGCAGAAGCTTCGAAGATGACATTTGTAGGTGACCTACCTAATGCATCAAGATGTATGGAGAGATTTTCACAGCTGGCAGAGTTTGGGGGTTGTTATGACAGAGAAGCAAACAAATGAAAACACTAAGCAATTGCGAATCAGGGAAGGAGAGGTCCAGTGTGACTGGTGCTCACCCAGGTGCGTAGTTGTCAGCCTTGCATGTTAATCAGGCCAAACACTGATGATGAACCTTCAGAGAGCATGTTGGCAGGAAGAAGGCAGGGGTGAGGGTAGGTTACAAAGACGACAGTTCCTTATGTTCTATAGTGGAAAGTCTGTAATACCTAAAATTGAAATAGCAACGTGGGCTTGTAAAGATAGGCAAGTCCCAAATCATTGCTTCACGGAAGGGTAAGCGGGGGTGGGGCACTGAGACGGGGCACATTGCTGCTCCTCTAACCAGTCTTGTAGAGCTATTTGAGTGTTCAGTGAAGAGCCTGTATAGTTTTGATTGAAAATTTAAACCAATCAGAAAAGGAAATGACGTTGGGAATCCTGCATCTCCAGGCGCCCCTCCCTCCGTCCCGCTTCCCAGGGCCCAGGCATGCGCACTGGGGACTCTGAAACGTCTCACACAATCTCGTGAAAGCCGAATTTCCTTCCATTTTTTTTGAGAGTTTGAAACAGACTAGATCATCTTGTATTAATACACACATACTTTTTAATATAAATGGTTGCTTAAGAAAATCATTCAAATGGGGCATTTACTCTAAAAATCTTACTATGGCTCTTCTTTTTAGGTCACAGTGCTAAGTATTCCGTTTCTGTCCTAGTTGGTCACTGTCATACTGTCTGGAGACAGTGAAGCTGTATTTAAAACGTTTCAGGAATCATGTGAATAGGCTGTTTTTGTGAAATTTGCAAGATTCTTTTTGATTGAAATATTTTTATATCCTGTTCCCCCCCCCCAGCATATTATTTTTAACCAAGGTTTCCAAAACACCGGCCGTGTCCGTGATTGTTTTAATGAAATGTTTTCCCCTTTGTAATCTCTCCGCACTTGGGTATTTAAGGAGACTCCCGACCCTGCATCCGGTGGGGAGACCCCAGCACACGGGATAGAGGGGGCCTGGCAGCTGTGCTCTCAGGTGTCGAAGTCGAGTCACACTGGTTCTGGAAGCTGTCTTTGACACTAATTCATAACTTTTATATGGGTTCCTAGCAACAATAAGGATTTTTTTTGTCATAACGTTTATTAAAAAATATTGCCTTTAAACAGTCTTTTTGTTCTTTATTCTTTGATCTAACAAGTGGAAGTGGCCCGTTGGTATTTTCAACCACAGTGGTTCAAATGTGTGTGTGTGTGTTTCCTGGCCATGTATTCTGAGGTGCTGGGAGCCCCGTACTGCTGATGACTGGTTATCCTGAGCCCCTGCTGACTGTCCTGTCCCTCCCTGCCCGCGCCTGGTGCTGTAGCCACACTGCCAGTTCCCAGCCCACACTGTGGGCAGGAGGAACTGTGCTTCGTCGGCTGTGGTGAACTCGAAGTTGCTTAGGATCTTGCTGTACATGTCCAGTCCCCAGAGAGAGCTTCCTGTCGGCCGATCCCAGGATCCTGACTCTTGTGGTTCTTCCCTAGGAGGCAGGTGGAAGACTTTGGCTCCCGTTCCGGAGCAGCCCTGATGAAGAAAGACATCACACAGTGGAGATGAGTCAGTTTTCTCAAAGCCAGTCAGGATGCTCCTACATCTTTCACTCCTCTCCTGTGCAAGTACATTCTCTGTCCCTGGGAATGTGTGTGTGTGTGTGGGTGGGGGGGCGGGGCCGAGAGGTGTCAGTGACCTTGCTCTTCTGATCTTCCAAACTTTTTTCTGTTGCCCTCACTCTAACAAGGTTGCCAACAAGGAAGCTGGCTGGGAATGTTTTTAAGTGTTTTCTGTTTCAATACTGCCAGACAGGGCTTGCAGGTTGCATTCCCTGTGGCCCCCAACACTTTGTTTTCTCACACTTGGCTTGGTCCCTTTGTTACCCTCTTTCCTGGATGCATTTTATCTGCCTGATCAGAGTGTAGACCTTTGCAGGGGTAACCATTGCTGCAGTTTTGCCCCTCTCCAAGTTTAGCACCCCTTCTTAAAGGGTTTTAAGGGGATGTGTGAAGAGATTCGGTGACAGGCCGTTTTTTCAGCCCTAGAAACTTGATATATTTTAAAGTACCAAATTTTTGGACTTTTCATATAATGAAGTTTATTGATCTTTTATTCTTTTTCTAATTTAAGTTAAAAAGTTAGGTTACAAATATTTCCCTGGGCCTTTCAAAGTGTAGTTTTAAAGAAGTGATAGTTGGACGGATGCAGTCACAAACGCAGATGGAGATTGTAACAAACACGGGCTTCCCCTGTTCCCTGCGCCGTCCCTCCCCCAGTTCCCAGAGAAACTGGCTGGAGACCGCCCTCCCTTTTCTGCTGTTACCTCCGTATTTCTAAAGAATAAGCTTGTACTGCAACTTTGTAGCTAGAAAATTTAGATCTTGTCTGTTGACTTGTGGAAGGTGAGGAATAATGTTATTACCACCTCCCCGAACATAAACCTTCTCTTAGCTCTAATCTGCTAATATCACAACTCTGGGTTAAATCTATAGTCATTTAATTATTGTGAATATGCAAAGGCCACCAAGCCTAGCCATGCCTTAAAATTATGCCTACGTTCTTTTATTTTCCCAGAGTTAATAATTGGCCTTATTGCTTAATTTGCTCTGTATCTTTTTATTGTAGTAAAAGACAAAGGATTTACCATTTCAAAGTGTGCAGTGTAGTGGCAGTAAATTCAAGAGCTGTGCAACCCTCACCACTACCTAGTTCTAGAACATCTTTATCATCCCAAAGGAAACCCCATACGCGTTAAGCGGTCATTCCCTGTTCTCCTTCACCTCGCAGTATCTTTTATCACCGGTCTGTTTCCTGTATGGATGGGTTTACCTATTGTGGATATTTCATATAAATAGAATCGCTATTACTAATGATTTCCAAATGCCCGAACTATCTCTGTAACGTTGCCTATTAATATTTTCTAATCACCCACATCAGTTTTGGTTTCTATTTTACTTCTCCTGGAATCAAGTGCCCTTTGCCCTGTTTGCGTCAGTTAGGCTGGCTGCTCACCAGGACGGCTGCACCACTACCATCCGTGGGCCTCTGCGCAGCCCTTCTGTGCCGGAGTCTCCTGATGCCTGGATCCTGCATTCTCCTCCTCTTCTGCTGGAGCATATCCTGCAGAAGCTTCTTAAGAATGGTTTTTTGGAGGTAATTTTTGAAAAGTCTTACAAAAGAAGGGACTTCGTCCCCACATTGAATGGGAGATTGGATATAGGGGCTGGATGTAGAACCCACAGTTTTGTTGTTTTGTTTGCATTGGAAGGGCCCACAGCTGTTTGTTTTGTGGTAGGGACATTTTGGTCTCTAAGCCGTTTGGAATTTGGGTATGTGTTATGATTTGATCTAAATTCCCCCCTCAGACATTTAATAATTCTCCCCCCTCCAAATTCGACAAAGGAGTTTTCTTTTCCCCCCTGATGCTTCTTACAACACACCACCTGTGAGGGGCACCAGGCTCTGTTTTTAGGTTGTGTATTCTGTGTGTGTGTTGTGTGTACATGCAGACACATACATTGGATTAGTTTTAATTTTTGTAGCCTTTTAAATTTCCTTTATTAAATTTAAGTTGTTGGAGAGTACTACATATACTATGTGACTTTCAGAAAGTAACCTGACCTTTTTGAACTTCGTTTTCTTACCTGTAATGTGGCGGTGCAGCAGTTTGCCTTGTAATCTGCAGATACCAGTCTGCCTTTAGCAAAAATCGGAGAGCGCGCTGTCAGACTCATTTCGCCCCTCCACCTCCATTCTCCCACAGTCTCCCCTGCTGCGCACCCTTTGGGGCTGACCTCCAGGAACTGCTTCACCTGGTCTTTCCTTGTATTCTGGCTTCTGATTGGCCAGTGGTAGAAAGTCAGAGCAGACAGAGGTCAGGATATTCATTTCCCCACCCCTCCCTGCCAACTCTGGGTAGTGATTG